AGGCTCTGAACAGAACAAATGCTCAACACCAAATCTTAAATTGACTTTTTAATGTTGCTCATCTTAACTTTTTACTTTCGACCTTTTCCACCTGATGATCGATTGATTATCAAAAGTAGATTACTCATTACTTAAATATCTTTTAAGCTTGTCTGGTTCCAGCCCTTGGTCAAATACTGTCAGCACAAGAAACAATATGTAATTAAAAAATGTTAACCATTATATATCACATTGATTTCAATGAAAGATCCATGATTTTCATTGATGTATGTTTGTGTTTTTTAAAGCACATTCTCCGGCTAAAAAACATAAGGAGTATTGTGGCACATGTTGTGGGGATACCATTAGCCTAACTGTATCATTTAATGTTCTACCACTAGTGTAATCTTGTTAATCAAACTCTTTATTGGTCTGCAGCTCAGGTAAAAATGCCTTTAAATGGTCAAAATGAAAACAATACCTTTTATAGAAATCTGTCTTACACCTCCTTCTGAAGAGGAGCTCATTAGCCTACTTGTCATCCCTATCAGTCCTGTGATCACCACTTTGTTCAAATATTGTCTTGTGTCTATAAAACTAGTTAAACAAAAAATGTCTTTCCTTTTCGATACAAATGAAACCATGTCCCTAAACTGGAAGGACTTTTCACAAAAACAATTATTGTCGTTAAGATGAATCAAGTAAGGGATTTGTTAATATATCCATGTATGCAGTGCTGTTACCTGTCAGAGCAACAAGCTGTCAAAGACAATCACAGTGAGGGCCCACAGAAAACGAGCGGGTGCTAATTCAGCAAACAAGCCGGGCCTGCTCCTCACAGGCCCCAGCATTTGTCAAGAAATCATCCCTCTCTCTTTCTTTCTCTGTCGGAATGCCTGGCTGACCCCCGGCAAATGAAAATAATCCAAAGTAATTAGAAGTGAGCCGCTCTGGTCCTGAGAGCCCCCGGGCGGAGGGGTAAACATGGCGGAGGGGCCGGGAGGGGCCAGCCCGTGGAAGAAGAGGGGATAGAGGTGGAGGTGGAGGTGGAGGGGGGGGGGGGGTTGGGGCTGACCTTGTCCACATAAAGCAGTGATTTATGAAGTGCAGGGCACAGCAGCAGGGCTTCTGTCTTCTCCCGCACAACCAAATTACTGAGGTGGAGATTAACACGCCGCTCACAACGGGCCTACTTCCAGAGCTGGGGAAATTCTGTATTTACATTTTCCCCTTTCATTTCCGCTGCTCTGTTTTAATGCTAATTGGACTATGGACACCAGGTCTATCCTTTAGTATAAGGACTTAAAGTTGCACACGGGCAATTAATTGTGCACTAATCTTGGCCGATGGTTGCCTTAATCAAAGTAAAAAGTTGCAGAGTGTTGTGCAAACTGCAGGATAACCGGTCGTTTGAGCTTTGAATGAGGTTTTACAACTTGATTGAATCGGCCCACATTTAGGCAAAATAAAATACGCAGGGGGGGCCGTGTGTATACAGAGGCATGATCGAGACTTAATGCAGCTTTTCGCCGGTGTCAATGGGCGGTCTCGCAGTGAATGGTGGAACTATTTTATGTGGGTTTGGCTGCGATATTTTCTTTCTCTCCTCTACTTTTTTTTCTCCTTTGCTTTTCGCTCTCCTGGAGGATGTGCTGGAATGCAGCGCACAGGCCGAAACACTGTTTCCATGTGGCCCCTCGGATGCAGCAGCACAGAGGCTCGCTCTGGCTCTGCAGCGCGCGCGCGGACTGCTGGAGTCAGTTTGCAACCCACGCGGGAATCCCCCCTCTTCTCCGGCCGGTCCCATATGACAAAATCCAAATCTCTTTTTGTTTTTACGCCACAATATTAATACTGCAAAGATATTCAAACGATTAAAAAAAAAAAAAAAAGAGTCAGCCAGTGTTACAGCCGTGAAGCTGAACCTCAAGTAAAATATGAAGCTTTTTGATCATAAGAATTCTCTACTTTCATTTGTGCATTGCTTTTTGCGTGACTTCACTCCTTAAACAAACAAGAAAGCCGCAAGCAAAATAAGCATGGGCCCATTTAAGCAATTTATCCTCCTTTCAAGAATTTCACAGCGCTTAAAAGCCTCGGCACTCCACATTATACGCGCATGCTGTATGTTTTAAGAGCCCCTTTAAATAAGTATGAAATGCTGTGTGCCATGATATAGTCGAACTAACATACCCCGAAGCCTGCGAGTGTTTGGTTTGTAATTTGTTGATAAACAGCTTTTCCACACCGCTATTTATGCGGCAATGTCCAAATCATTCTGACAAAGGCATGGCATAATTCAGATAAAACACACCTTTTTCATCTCAGCACATCACAATGTGTTTACGGTGGATTGTGGGGGGGGGGGATGAATAAAAAATAGATCTGTAGCCTACATTGCAAATCACTCTCGTGGCTTATTAACAAATGAACAAGTGTTTTATATTCAGCCCCATCGGTCTTTTTTTAGTACATTTATGTGCGCTCGTTCAGGTGATTATATATTCAAAGTCATACAGCTGAATCTTTCATGTCTCCATCTCGCAATTTGACGCCTTACTGTGGAGGTTTTTGTGCCGCAATTCACACAGACGAGAAAGAAATGACCCCCAATCATACAATAAGTCACAAAGCTGGCTGATCGAGCAGACTGTTACAGAGGGAGATGTAAGCTGCAGAGCTTTCAACATGAACTTAATGAAATTAATAAAGGCCCGCACGTGATCCCTAAAGAAGTTCGATTCTTGTCTTCTTCTTTTTTTTTTTTTTGTGGCTGTAGGGGTCAGTTTACTCACCATCCTGGCAAAATGAGACCCTCAAAGCATTTAGAAAACTGCATCTGATACAAAAGATAACAGTGTTATCTGCTAACATTGTAAACGTTGAATTTAGCCCACGTTTGAGTCTTGAAGCTTTTTTTTTCACTTGCTCAAAGTTTTCAAATGTAATGAATGTAATTCTGTTCAGTTATGTAATTCATCCTCAAATGTCCATCACTATTTAATTGTCATTTAGTCATCTGAAATGTTCAGAGATGTCTCAAAAGTCCAGTCCAGAAGAGCGCGCCCTCTCCTGACAGGGGAAAGTACTACATACTCTCCTCACTTAGCCAGCTTAAGAGGGTCCTGTTACTGTTAACCCAATTTACCCCTGGTGATACCACAAACCCCGCGTGTTTATCCTCCTCTTTTCAGACATTTCCTCCTCTTCAGAAAAGAGCTCTGGCCCCTCTCTCTATCAGGATCCTCGATCAGAGCCGGAGAGGCCGTGAAGCAATCACTTTCCCAGATTACTAGTATTTAATACACAATGCATCATAAAACAAATCCCTCATCCTGACAGGAAGAAAATAGAACAGCTCATTCGACTTGAGCTTTCCCAATTTATGGCTAAATTAAAAAGGCTTCCAACAATGGACAAGTCGAGGGGAGGCAGGAAATCAATGACCGGGCGGACCGGGGTCCCTCCTCGGTTCTCAAGGAGCGCGAGACGATGGGAATCGGTGGCGGGGTCCTGCCTTATTTACACATGATTTTTCCTGTCCTTCCTGCACATTTGCTCCGCGATTTCGTCAAACAATAGGCATTATCTGGGATGGAAGGTCAATGTCACAGCGCGAGGCGTTATCCATCATCATCTGCTCTCATCAGCCAAAGCCCTGTCCTCTGCAGCTTTATGAGCTGCCTAATAAACTGCGCTGTCCGACTATCACAGTCTTTCACGTTTCTTTATTATTCTTACCCGTGTCTGTTTTATTCAAAGCATTAGGTTCGGATTTAAACTCCCAAGAAATAAAAACGAATCAACATTGGGGTTTTTTTTCTACTCCTTAACGCTGTGGGAAGCAGGTGCACAATGGCAAGAGTGGTGGACAAAGTACATACTCAGGATTTTAAACTTGTGTGTCTGAAGATGAAATGCTCTTTCTCTCAGATTGAAACTAATGTTATAAAAAATAAATGCGCACTGCTGATTTTGTGCGCGTGTTAACTGATGAGCAGAGAGATTTTGGAAGGAGAGCGCACAACTCACACCGTGCAGCTTTTTTTTTTTTTTAAGTCAGAGAGTAGCAGGTGATTAGGTCAGTGTTTCCCAAATTGTGGTTTAGGGACTTTCAACGGTCCTGGTGGAGTTTCTTAGAGGTCCCCTGGAGGAACACTTAGTTGATACATGCCTGCACAGATAGAGCAAGGTTTTTGTTTTTTTTACTTAAGTTCTTACTTTTGTGTTGTTATATCGCCTCTCTGCATAAATTGTAGCCATCTTCAAACAAATTAAATGTAAACCTTAAGGTGAACAAGAGAAAAAACGGCTTTATTATTCATGTTAATAACGTCATAAAACGCTCCATGAACTGTTGCGGCGTGTTGTGAGAAGTTGAGGAACACGTGGATAATAGCACTTTGATGCTTATGTGGCTTCATTAAAGTGTGCTGCCTAGTTCATCCCTTTAGAAGCCCCATCCCGACCTCTCCCTGACCCCGCTCACCCTCTCCAACCCCGGGCCCCTGTCACTTTAAAATTTACTGCGGAGAGGAGTCGCTTCCGACCGGGAGACAGGGGCAAGGACAGTCCCGTGCTCTGTGCGCCAGGGATGTACGCGATGGATCCCCTGTGTATGAGACAATGCGTAAAAAGAGAAACGAGTCCAGGACGCGTTTAAAGTAGGGGGCGATGCTTGAAGCCAACCCCCCTCTGAATCTCTCCCTGCTATCATCTAGACGACACATCCCGAGTGGCTGAGGAGGGGGGGAGAGGAAGAGAAAAATGAAAAGTTGAATGGCTACCAGAGGACACCTGGGTGCGTCAGGACAGGAGGGGTGACAAGAGAGGAGCGGACGAGCACAGCGAAGCGCACACACTGAAAAGTTGAGAGCAAGTTGATGTTCCGGAGGTGATTTAGTTCCCAGTAGCGATGTCTGGGAGACAGTGAGAGGACATCTACATAGTCAGCGGTGTCTGTGAGATCATATAGCGGGAGAGGATCTACTTTTTTTTCTTTTTTTTTTTTAAACCTAGCGCGCGGCGTCTGAGGGACAGTCGCTCCGGAGAGAAGTCGACTCGTCCAGCGGCTTGGAGACCCGAAGAGACACCGGCACCGAAAACAACAACAGAACACTGGTTCGTTTTAATGCCAAAATCTGGAAAGCGAGCATTAGACTTTTTGTGTTGTTCTTTATTTTTATATTGTCGAGTTTTATCGATCACATTTTTTATATAAAACCAGAGTTTTTATCACTTTTCCTCGGTGCTAAAAACGCACTTCTTATTCTGAGAGGTTAATCTGCCTCATGCCGGTGTTTTAACGGTAAGAAATGAAGAAAACTTTGCAGATAAACACCAACGTTTGTTTTGCTGAAGTGTTTGTACGGAGAAAATAATCATCCCATTGTTCAGTTCGTTGTAAACTAAGTTTGAAGACTAAAATCCATGAAAGGCTGTAGAGTACTTTTGCAGGGTGAATGTGTAGATGCAGTGTTACTCCAGACAAAGGGCTTTATGCAAACTAAATATTTATTCAGTGGCCGCTCATACAAAAGCAGAAAGACACATTTGTGACCCCGAGAGAGAAAGAGAGAGAGAGTCCGCTTTGCATCGCAACAATCGTCTCCGGCTTCATAATTCTTATCGCTCGCGGTTTCCTGCAATTGATTTGTTTCCCAGTAAAGTTTACTGCTGCAGCATAATAAATATTAACACGTTACAACAACGTTACAGCGCTTACTGTTCGTTTGGGGGGGAAAGTGTATAAATGTTTGGTACAAGCCATACAAGTTCAACGTTTTTTTAATTTGCATAATAATTCACTTCATTGTTTTTATTGTCATTTTCTTCTTCAGATGTTGACGAGCGGTGATTATTTATGGGATATAGTCAAACACTTCGTTTTTAATTTAATTTAAGGTTTAACTTCTTCTTTTTTCCGTTTTTTTTTTAATTTATTTATTTGTGATTGCAATTTAAAAACCAAACTAGAAAAATCGATGCAGTTTTTTTTTTTTCGATGAACATACATTTACAAAAACGAATTCAAACCTGAGTTGAATTCCATTTTAATCGAGCTTAATTTGGCAACGAGTTTTATTCATTTATTTTGAGAAAAAAATATAATGTTTTTTTTCTGTCCATATATGTTGATAATATATCAATGTTTCTTTTCTTTTTTAAATTATATTATCTAATTTTAGTTATGCCTAAACAAATTGACTTTATTTTGAAATACACTGAATCATTTTACTGACAATTCAATATAATTTACGTTTTACTTGTAATGGAAATCACATCATTTAATGAAAGCCCACTCATGGGAAAAACTATACAGTATAAGGCCTATATAATATTTTTTGCTCTGCTTTTATTGCGTTTGTTGTTTTTATTTTATGTTATATGAAGTTACAGGAGTCTTCTACAAATATTGTTTTAAAAAATAAGGAAACAAAATGCTCAAAATATTTTTTAGATAAAACAAAATTTGGAGGACATACACTTTGCTTATACTCCACCCAAATTGTGTGTGTGTGTGTGTGTGTGTGTGTGTGTGTGTGTGTGTGTGTGTGTGTGTGTGTGTGTGTGTGTGTGTGTGTGTGTGTGTGTGTGTGTGTGTGTGTGTGTGTGTGTGTGTGTGTGTGTGTCTGTTTGTGTGTTTCTTTGTGTGTAATGCACCACAGACCAGCTCCTGACATGTGGGAGGTATGTGGTTAGTCAGTGTTTGGACACAGTAACCTGGACTGATGCTGATCAAAGTCTGATATCTCTCTCTCTCTCTCTCTCTCTCTCTCTCTCTCTCTCTCTCTCTCTCTCTCTCTCTCTCTCTCTCTCTCTCTCCTCCTTGCAGATCTTGGACGGGTCAGGCCATGTAAAATTCTGTGTGGATGCCAGCAAGCCAGATATCGGGAGCTGGCTGAAGTACATCCAGTTTGCCCCTGCGGCCAAGCAGCACAACCTGACAGCGTGCCAGATAGATGATCAGGTATGTGGAGACACTCGCAGACCACCTGGCAGAAAACAACCTCCACACCATACAAGACGAATATGATCTGAAGACAAGAAAAAAAATACAGGGACAGAGAGAGAAAACATGTGCATGACTTGATTTTGAACTCCCACACGATGATGTATCTAAATCTGGCTGTCTGGATCAAGTGGAACTGAGAGTCATTCAGATCTGTTAAAAAGCTTTTGTTAATGCCAGAAGACTTCCCCGTATTTTAAGACATCTGTCCTGTCTGTGTGCTGTGGTGTTAAAAGGTGTTATAGTGATCCAAGTCAGATAGTCCCATGAGCGGCTGGCCCACCCTGCCTTTATTTCACACACACATACAAACACATATCTCCTCCTGCAGAGCCTCCTTGCTATCTGTGTGGGGTTTTCTTTCTATAATTGTGCTCCGGCTTCTGCCGTGCGAGGACCACAGGGCAGGATCAGAGGCGGCCCGCCAAGATGATAGTTCCGCACACTTCCCGGTCACGCTTGCGATATAAACTCTTAGATATGCCAGGAATGTCACAGTCCTTTTGCTGCTCACCTGGCTGTGCAGAGAGGTGCGTGTGTGCACACATGGGGGCCCGTTCACCTCAGTAATCCAAGCGCCCTCTCACACAGACGCATGCAGCAGAGCAGGCAGACAACAGGCTCAACTTTATTTGACATGTGTATGGAGAATACCATGGCTTGACCAAAATAAAATAAAACATAATCCAGCCTGCATGTTTGTCATCACTTCTCACTGGTGGTCCATCCAGATTACTTGTTGAGTGTCTCCCTTTGAAATAACAGCTAAAAAAAAACTATAGAATTACAGTAGCAGCCATGTAACTCTACGTGGCTGCTAATTAAGGTTGCATTTAGTTTTGTTGGACCTGATATTATTTGGAAATGTTGAAAGTTACAAATTCAGAGATGCTCAGATCTCCTGCTCTGACTTAAGCTAAATCTCACATGTCTTGCACTAAGCAACAGGCCTGTGAAGAGAGAGGCAGATAGCCAGTGCTCTTTTCATGAACCCTAATAGGAAAGCAGAAGAAGAGTCTTTCCATAAGTGCTTCTTTCCCTCTCTCTTTTAAAAGACACACAGAGACAAACAGGCAAAGGGAGAGCTTCCCCGAGCTGCCCTCTTCACGAGGTGTGACTTGCTGTCAACACTGTGGTTCTGCTCGGGTTGCTGTGTAAGGCTCCGACAGGTCACGGACATGGCTATGATGAGGCGATTGTTAAGTATTACACACTGTCACAACAGAGCACAATGTGCCGTCTTTAAGCCTTCCGGCCAACATTGGTGTTTTTGAAAACACACTGGAGTGTCCCACAATGCCTGTCTGTAGGTGGAAAATGAATGGACTAAAGAGGGTGGTCTTGTAAAGCTGCTGTCAGTTTCTGGGAGTGTGTGCGTGTGTGTGTGGGAGTGTGTGTGTGTGTGGGAGTGTGTGTGTGTGTGTGTGTGTGTGTGTGTGTGTGTGTGTGTGTGTGTGTGTGTGTGTGTGTGTGTGTGTGTGTGTGTGCAAAATTATGAGCGCTGTTTATCTCCATGTGTGCACAGACCTTTATGTGCAATGGCTTGTTGTGAGTGTGTGAAGTGTTTCATTATGTGTTTGGAGTGTGTGCACACACCTGTAACTGCCTGTGTTTCTACATGTATGCATGTGTGAGCTTTAGTGGGTAGGTGTGTGTGTGTGTGTGTGTGTGTGTATGGTGTGCATGCGTGGGTGGATGTATGCCTTTGTGTGTTTGTGTGTTTCTGTGTCTGTGTGTGCATGCTCTGCAGGACTGTGAATTGTTCATTGCGGTTCAGATGGCTCCCCATGCTCCTCATTGCGAGCTGGAAATGTTCAAACACACACTACCTGATTCCAGCAGGTTTTTACAGCCACAGAGAACTGCTGAGTCTAAACCCAGCCTGAAACCACACATTACACACACTCGCCGCACAACGTGTAGCATCACCAGGTTTTCTCAGAAGGGCCTGACCAAGCTAAAAAAAAAAAGGGCTTACATACTCTTTGCTTGGCTGAATCTTCCCTCAGAACCACATTTAAACTGATCCCATCAGAGATGACTTTGCTGCATGATTTATTTCAGGACAATGTCGTATGACAGCAATTTCCAGGTGTGTCAGTCGTTATTTGGGCCCTGCTTCTTTTCAAACACCAATTTATTCCTGCCAGTGTGAGAGTTAAACCGGCCTCCGTGCTCTTATTTCTGACCCAGTTCTGTTTATCATAAAACTTTATGAGCAATCTCAGGAGGGTGAGGGAGTTTAGAGGAGAATAAATGTGTGAGGAGAGAGAGAGAGAGCGAGAGAGAGAAAGCCTGTTTTGTCTTACTGATGAAATTAATCCCACTTCTCCTTTTTTCCTCTCTGTTTCTCTATCACCATGCATTTGTTTCTAGTCAGCCTTTCTACGTTGGCATGAAAGATGAATGATCAAGCACCTAGCAAGGAAAAATCAAGCCTTGTTTGTCACACAGTCTTTAAAGGAGTCGCTACTAAAAATGTTTATAATGTTAGAATCAATCATCTGTATACTTCTCACACACCTGGCATTTAAAATGAGCTACTTTCTTCACAAATTCAATAAAGTAACGTGAAGAAACATGTTTAAAAGGGTGACTTAAATGGCTCCAAAACATTGTGTCACTGTTCAAATTTCACGAACACATGGTTATTCTAAAATTAGGCGCATGTATTTAAACTAAACTAAACAAGAGTAGCCTTTATTTCTATGACCTTTCAGTTTCTTTTTTACTGCTTTATATATTTGACACTGTAAAGTGGAGAGCGACAGGAAGGAACCGAGAGGAAGGAGATGGCAGGTGTTCAGTTTGTGACTCACACTTCATTCTGCACTTCATGCAACATGCTGTAACCTGTACATTTCAAATTTGTCCTTTAAAATAAAACTGTAGAAATAAAAGTGTGTTCAAATGCAGACATTTGCTACGGGCACCACAATGGATTATCTTTGCCTGATGTCCTCGTGCACTGTGCATCACAGCCTGAGCGCTATACTCGCGTGGATCCTTTCCCGATCAGCATGTTTTGTCGTTCAGATAATTAGGGCAATTAGCGACTGAAAACCCTCAACTGCGCTCCTCACTCGGCTGATTCGACTGAAAGCAAAATGGATTAAAAGTGTAATTAACATCATCCAAACGAGGCCCTGAAGAGTCTTTCATAAGACAGTGCAGACGGATATGAGTGTTAATCTCATCCGCTCTATTGATTCTCGCTCAGTATTGAGTGGGATGAAGTGGCCGAGGGGCATATTAGCAAAACACTGACAGTCATTCACTGTGTAAATACACGGTGGGGGGAAAGCACGAAGGGATTGTAACTCACTGAGATAACAGATGGAAGCTTTTTGCAGTTACTAAAAAAATGCTTAGGAATTAATTTTTAAAAGAGTTCAGATTTTTTTTTAACTTTGTGTATTTTTGGATGGAATTAATTAAAACAGAGAGTTTTTTTTTGATAGGCTTCTAAGACACTGCTGTAATATTTGTTGTGTTTCAGTGTAAAGCTTGATTGCGGCTCTAGTGCATCTTTCTTTTCCATCATTTTTCAGGCGTTAAAGTGGCCTGAAGTTTTTTGCTGAAGAGCACAGCCAAGAGTGAGAGTACACTGTGGCCGGACGGCGCGAGCCAAAGACATACCTGTCCAATGAGCTCTGTGTGAGCGAGGAGCCGGCCAACAGGGTGTGACCGGGGGAAAATGTGACTGTGTTTACAATACTAATGACTAATGGTGTCAAGGTAACAAGGTAGTCCGATTATGTAGCCGCTTATCCTCTTATGGTTGGGACCTTTGACAGAGAGGGAGAGAAAGAGAGGTCAATAGGAGCGCCATAAATTAAAAGGCAATAAAGACAGAATACATTAAATATTAATATGATTATGATTAAATGGCAAATCATAGACTGCAAAATGAAGTTTCTCTTTCTTCTGCTACATCTTGTGCAGAGCAGACCAAAACATCTGCATTCATTAAAAGCTGGACACAAAAATCTCAAGTCTATGTCTTAAAAATAAACAGTTTTGTTTGCAGTTAGAACAAGAAACAGCCTTGATGCTTAGGGGAACGGCTTTCTCAGTGTGAACTCAGACACCCTTGCTATCTTATCTACAGACTAACATGTTATTTTAAGCCACTGTTACACTGGGGGGGGCGATGTTGGTTAGTGTGCGAGTGTGTGTTTGTCATGCTCAGGGTGACCAATCTAACCCTGTGTGTGTGCTGCCACGCACTGAGTCTCTGCTTTTTTGTTGTTGTTTTGTTTGTGTGTGTTTTCACTGTTTATCTGCGGTGGCCCTGTGGGGGGAAGAGGTGGAGCTTTTGGGGGAATTCCCCTTTTATTGGTAAGCACCCTCCTGTGCCTGCTTGTGTGTGCACTTATGCTGCCCCCCCCCCTCCTTAAACACAACTACTACTGCAGCAATTACAGAGAGCCAGGGCTACAGAAATGTTTATTGATCCCTGAAAGAGGGGGTCAACGGTCAGGCACAGGGCAAAGTGGATCTCTGCTGCTATAGTTTGAAAGACTCACCTGCTTTCCCCACTTCCTCAATATGTTGTCCTTAATTATCTCTTGTTCGCAGTAAAACGTACTAAAATTACAGACTCATAGCTGCACTTCAGCATGAACTTGTAGTCCTGTATTTATGGACAAAGTGGTTTCGACAGTGTCCATTAACTTTAATGTTCCGAGGCCTTCGTCCGCGCCCTGGTAGCTGTCCAAAGAGCCTCCCTCCTCAGCCTCGGTATCAGTCTCTCAGAACGGATTCCCTGCAGACTCACATGTCTGTTTGAACTGCAGTCTGATTGTTTCTGAATCACAATATTTGTGTGGCCTTGTAGAGGTGACGGACACAGGAAAGAGTGTGTCTGCTTGTGCATGTGTGCATGCGGTGCTCTCTGCAGTTCTGTGCAGATGTGTGTTTATGGTGTAGATAGAGGTTAGAGTGGGGCATGTCAGCGATTAAAGCTCCTGTTGGGAACCCCACATTCTGTTCCCTTTGTTCTTTTCATTAATGCAATGGGGTTCTGCATGGCTGTTGCTGATCTGTGCTGAATTTATCTTCAGCTAGACAACAAAACTTCAAACTTTCTTGGGAACTCAGCGTTTAATTAATGCACAAAAGCAGATTTAAAAGTAATTTCATATTTATTTGAGTTCTACTCTAATGACCCAAGTACAGGAGCTTCCTGTGCTTCAGTGAGACACAATGAAGGTTGCCACAAATCTGTACTGTCATACTTACTATCATATCATTTCCCAGAAGTTTGAACAATGACACAAACAATTATAGCACATAATTCATCATGATGTCCTCTTGTTACAATGATATTCATAGTGAGTCTCTACGGAGCCTTGGAATGCTGTCCATGAACTGTATACCTGTGACCCCTTTACTTCCCAGAACCCCCCCCCTTCTTATTGCATTTCTAATAAATTCCCACATGGTCATTGTCATGTCGATGCAGCAGAGGAAGGTAATATGTTAAACCTCCAAAGCATGCCAAAAATAACGCCAAGACTGATTGTTTTACAGAGAAAGGCCATTGTGTGTGCATGGGAAGCACCACAGTCTCAGGGTCTCTCAGCTGATTCTTTCAGAAATGACTGACCCTCCAAACACACAGCTCTAGTAGGGACAGAGTGTTTTCACCTATATGTATTTCAGAGAATGAAATCTGTACGATAGCTATTTTTAGCCTAGAAATACTTCAGCTTTGAAAAGAGGTGGATGTAAGTACAATTTTAATTTTAAGATATAGATACACGATGAAGTGTCACTGATAAACTGTTATAACAGTTGGACAATTTCATTCATCTTACAAATACTCAAGTTGCACGGTGCATATGTTTTCTCTCCACACCTTTGTTTTGGCGCATTTTGTGTTTGTGTGTACATGCCTGAGTGTATAAAATGTATGACACGGGTTATTTATTTTACAGTGAAATTGTTTGTGCTTTAATTTTGTTTTCATTACTATGGTAATTAATTACCAGTTAATTAGCGTGACTGTTTTTATGTGGAGATCCCCCTTGTGTGTGTACATGTGTGCATGCATGAGTGCCTGTGTGCGTGTGTGTGACAAAGAGCTACACCAAGTGTCCTCTGCTGGTTTCAAAAAGTTGATAGCTTAACCTTAATTAACAAGCAGAAACACACAATATAAAAAAAAAAAAAAACATCTGCAAAATCTTTACTTTCGCTCGGCAAAATTCCTCTTTGCATAAAGTTGTGTTTGAATTTTGTACTGAAATGTGATCGCATGTGTTGCAGATCTTCTACAAAGTCACCAGAGAGATTTTCCCCGGTGAGGAGCTGCTGCTTTTCATGAAGGCTGAAGAGTATTCATGTGATACCATGGCTCCGGATATTCATGGTTAGCACCACAAAGCCACTCACACAGACAGTAACACACAGTTTGTCACCATTCACTCAAATGCATAAAATGCTCGTATGTATCTGTCTTTGCACGTTGTAGAGGAGAGGCAGTACCGCTGTGAGGACTGTGACCAGCATTTTGAGTCCCGTAGCCAGCTGTTGGACCACCAGAAGCAGCCGTGTGGGATGCCCCCCTCCTCCTTCCTTAACCCAGGTTTGACTTTATTATTTTTAGATAGGTGGGTTATTTTCATAGCATTGTTGAGTGGGCACTGAGGAGTGACATAAGAGATGTGTAGCTGAGCTGAGACAATATGACACAAACAAATCAAAGCTTATCTCCTTCTGGAGCCACTGATCTTACAACAATTCACTGAGGGGAGCTCCGATGGCCTAGCGGTTGTGTCGCACGCTCCATGTGCAGATGCCGTGGTCCTGTCCCTCTTCAGCTGTCCTATTCAATAAAGGCAAAAATGCCCAAAAAACAACAACAACAAAAAAAACAAAAGACAATGCGCTGAGGACAGAAGAGTTGGCAAAACATGTATAAATTGTGTTTCATTTCATACAGGTTGAGACTTATATAGGATGTCCAGGTCAAAAGTGAATGACCCGTGCTACACTGTAAAAATGTACTTATCCCACATTGTTTGTCCAAGACTTCACAAAGTGATATGTATAACCATAAGATTATGCCTGATTTGTATGAGGCTGGACCACAGACACAGTAATTGACCAGAGCCTGTGGCAATGCAAGTCATTACATTTCCCCCATGTAATCTATGTAATGGAATAGATTGCTCTTGAAGACCGCACATACCTCAAGACAGCACAACTCTACAGCTCACTGCTACACCCAAACACGTCATTCCCATTTGACATGAATTTGAAGTTAACATGTAAGCATTTAAATGTGTACAATTGAAACATAAATCTAAAATACAAATGGCATAAAAACCTCAAAGACCATAACTTTTTTAAACAGATCCTCAGGATGCATGTAACCCTTCTTGCTTTACTTTTTCATTGTATCTAGGAGGGGACGGTGACTTGAAGGGCCAGGAACCTCAAGACTTGAGACCCCTCCACATGTCCCATGGTCTACTTGAGTGTAAGGAGTGTGACCAAGTCTTTCCTGATGTCCAGAGGTGAATATGGAAAGCTGACACACTCCAACTTGTGATCTTCATTCATACACATATAATAGAGCAGAAGTTGTCAGACAACAATATGGCACAAGACACAGTTCTTAACCCAAATGTGTGTTTAATGCTTTCGTTCCCTTCAGTCTGGAGGCCCACACCCTGTCCCACTCTGAAGAGAGGGAATACAAGTGTGACCAGTGTCCCAAGGCCTTCAACTGGAAGTCAAACCTGATCCGGCATCAGATGTCTCACGACAGTGGCAAGCACTATGAATGTGAAAACTGCTCAAAGGTACAGTGATGACTTTTGCAGGATGTGTTGCACTTTTGTCTCTCTGTGTCTGCATTTCACAGGAGGGTTTTCATTTATTGAGAAGAAGATACTAACTCCCTCGAGTGTCTGTCTGCTTGCTTCCCCCAGCAGGTGTTCACAGACCCCAGTAACCTGCAGAGGCACATCCGCTCGCAGCACGTCGGGGCACGGGCCCACGCCTGCTCTGACTGCGGGAAGACGTTCGCTACGTCTTCGGGCCTCAAGCAGCATAAGCACATCCACAGCAGTGTCAAGCCCTTCATGTGTAAGTCACTAAGACCCTACCTATGTAAGTCTCCTCAGTACGTTATAATAATAACAACATAATGCTTGTGACTTGCCTTTAAGAGAGAAAACTGATGTTATGTAAAAATACATTTTTATCCTCAGCTCCTTCTCAAGAGTCAATCATGTAATGTTATACAAGAATTGCACGTGGGATTATGTTGTAGTTGTGTTTAGATTGGCAGATATTTTTCTTTTAAGACAGAATTGTATTTGAATCAGCACTCTCATGTAGTGCTGATATGGTCATAACAGCATTTAAGATAGCATGTAATGTGACTCAATCCCACTCAGTCTAACCCTTCTATTGCCTCTCACAGTGATCCAGCATCACCCACAGCTAACAACCTTTTCTCTTTTTCCGCTGCTTTCTCACTCACACACACATTTTTTTTCTTCTGTTCCTGCTCGTCAGTAAACCTTTACTCCTGTGAGACCCAAACACACTGTGACCTTTCACAGTTTGGCCAACCTCACACTGCAGATCTGATCTCCTTCCCCTAAAGCGTTATGACCTTCACCCTTTGCCCCATCTCTCTTTCACTGACCCCAGCAGACCAACACACACAAATACACACCCCCCTTGTCAAACAAACACGCACTTATATGTAATATTCATAGGTCGGATCGACTGCATCTCAACTGCAGACCTCTTGACTCCTCTCTCCCCTCCACCTCATGCTGCACCATTCCTCACAAATAGCAACCACATGTACGGCCCTCTTCCTTGTACAGCTCCTTCTGAATAGGAGTCCATTTGCCGTAATCAGCAGAAAATATGCAGGTTTAAAAACAATTAATGGCTGCCTAAGAAAAGAAAGAAAAAACAGAGCTGCGTTCAAACATGATGGCTGCCGGAGAGAGACTGTGTGTGTGTCCCAAGTGTTTGTTTTTGTGAATCATCTTGTAACGCATCTACATGTTTCTAACAGTATTGCACTGAATGCGCACATGATTTTGTTTGTATTTTAGTGCACGCAATGTGTCAAGGATGTTTATCTATGTGTCTCCGAGCTGTGAAGAACTCAGGCCTGCTGGATTATTAATTCAGACTCTCAGCTATAGGCAACACTTAGCCACGGCTATCCTCTCAGGAATGTGTTTATAATATATTTTTGTCCGCTTATTAAGAGCTGATGAATACAAGAGTGTCATAAAAAAAACATCTCACACTTAGTGTGTCATCTGGTGCTGTTAAATGTCAGTACTACATGATTAATGGTGAAGATGTTTTTTTTTTCTTCTTTGGCTTTACTCTTTGGCATATACATAGAATCTTAGTGTTAAGTTATAGTTGCATCTTTCCCTTATACACACCAACTGTAAGGATTTAACAACATATTGACTTTTAGAAATGACTCTGTGGGTGACACAAACAAGTAGTGTGCATAGAATGTACCATTCAAATTTAGACGTACCTATCCCATAGAAATGTCTACTTCACAGCTCGAGCTGGTTCCTCAAAATTAGCTAAAAAGAATTCAGTTAAAGTTTCCAAATGTCTTCCTCCTTCTTGCAAGACACATGCACAGCTTCTCGAGAGGAAAATCATGTGTATAATCAAAGGAATCAAGCACTCGTCCCATTTTCCCAGATGTTTCCAAAATGTTTACAACTACCTTTCAGCCCTAATTGTGTCAGCCAAAGCCAAGCCGCAAAATGCGCTTTATTTAAATTTAGTTTTCTGCATCTATTCATTAGAATAGACTTTTTAATAAGATTACATTCCCTCTTGGGCTTTAGCGTTCAGATTTTGGCGTGCTTCTGGGATGTTTATTTAAATGTGTTTCCACAGTCCGTTTTTTTCCCCGCTCTTCCTCTCAATCCCCTTAAATTGTCTCTTGTGCACCTTGTGGCTGGAAGGCATCCAAAGTATGCAGAAGCGTAATCACAGTGTGAGCCTAACCACTTCCTTATCCTCGTTTTGAAAATCAAATAACAATGTGAGTGAAATCAATCATCCACGGCTAACAGCTTTCTGATATTATCAGATGATCAAAGATCAGCTGTAGTGTAGCAGATCTGTAAAATATCCCATTATGCAGGATTGGGCCAGGAACATCTTCCCCCTTTCATAAACTGCATTCTTGACTTTTATTAGAAGGGCAAGGGAAAGGAGCATGGGAAAACAGTAAGTAATCAGCCATCATCCTGCTTTTAAAACTTAACAAATCATCCATCGGTAGTTGATAATGTTGACAGGCTAATAATGGCGATAGATAATGTCAGGGGTTGAGGTTTTGTCTCATGGTCTGGGTGTTGCCACTGAACATCTCTCAGGGTCAGACAGAGCTACAGACAGGCACACTGCAGTCAGCTGTGGGAAGGTCACTTAGCACGGAACGACAGGGACTCAACTATGGGGGAGAAGGTGAGGGGGCTAAGGGGGTGACAGGGGAGGCCCAGAGAGGGAAGAGAGGCTGCAGAGGACGTGAGACCTGTCCCTGGGAACCGGACTGCAGGATAGGATTCATTCAACTCGGCTTCCTTCACAAACTTAAAATAGAGCCATTGTACTGCATGTGGCTGAGAATGTGTGTTTGTGTGTATCTGTATGTCTGCATGCTTGTGTGTATTATTCAGTTACTCTGTGTTATGTGAATATTTAAGAATGTGCCTGCATGTCTGTGTGTGTGCCTGTGTGTGATTGTTTATGGACTCCCTGGGAGCGTCCCTGGGAGGACAATGGGGCTGGAGATGCCTGGGAATTTGGTTTGATGTGCAGGTGATGAGTGGCAGCAAATGACTCACACCGTCAACCAAACTTATTCTCTTACAATGCCAGGATCTGGACACACCTCGCCCCCCCCCTTTTTTTTTTGCTTGAAAACTATTATCAGGATATAGATGGGAACATGAGGATAGTATTTGTGCTGCATTTCCTCTGCCTTAGACTGAGTCAGCCGGAAAACATGTTAACTGGAGCTGTCATGTCATGTGATGCTATTTTGTGTTATGTCTGTGCGTGTGTGTTGTGTTGCATACTGATACGTCCCATATCTGTCTCCGTGTCTATGCAGGCGAAGTATGCCACAAGTCCTACACCCAGTTCTCTAACCTGTGCCGCCACAAACGCATGCATGCTGACTGCCGCACGCAGATCAAGTGCAAGGACTGCGGGCAGATGTTCAGCACCACATCCTCCCTCAACAAGCACCGGCGCTTCTGTGAAGGGAAAAACCATTTCACAGCAGGAGGATTGTTTGCCCAGGGTATGCCACTCCCTGGTGCCCCTGGCTTGGACAAAGCCGCTCTGGCAATGGGCCACAGCAGTGCTGGGCTGGTTGATTACTTTGGGGCAAGTCGCCACCACGGCGGGCTTACCTTCCCTGCTGCCCCGGCATTTCCCTTCAGCTTCCCTGGCCTCTTCCCCTCTGGACTCTACCACCGGCCTCAGCTCATTCCTGCCACCTCTCCTGTCAGACAAGCGTCCCATGCATCCGTCGGGCCTGGTGGAGAGCTGAGTAAGAGTCCACTGCTGCCCCCAAGCCCTGGGGTTCAGGAGTCCAGAGAGCTCCTTAAGGCACTTCGTAAAGATGGTGGTTTACCTGGCAACCACATGCTGGGCTCAGAGCACCATGCCCAGAGCTCTTCATCTTCCACAAAGCAGCGGAACAAGCAGAGTGACCAGTCCGAGAGCAGCGACCTGGATGATGTCAGCACACCCAGCGGAAGTGACCTGGAGAGCACATCGGGGTCAGAGCTGGAGAGTGACATGGACAGTGAGAGGGAAAGGGGGGCTGCGAGAGAAAATGGGAAAGGCCCAAAGAGAAAGGCCAGTGAAGGAGGCCCTCAAAGCCCCAGCCTGACTGGAGGCAGTGCTGCTAAAGACTTTCCGGGCCCTGCGCTCATCCCATCCTCGCTGGACGAGCACACAGCTGTTACAGGGGCTGTAAATGACTCTATTAAGGCCATTGCCTCCATTGCCGAGAAGTACTTTGGCTCCACAGGACTGGCTGGCCTGCAGGACAAGAAGGTCAGCTCTCTGCCCTACCCCTCTATGTTCCCACTGCCATTCTTCCCAGCTTTCTCTCCTCCAGTTTACCCTTTTCCAGATAGAGACCTCAGACCTCCAGGCTTAAAGCGCGAGCCACAGTCTCCGGCAGAAGACTGCAAGAAGGCCCAGGGCAAATCGTCAACCGAGTCACCATTTGACCTCACTACTAAGCGGAAGGAGGAGAAGTCTGCTGCCTCTGCCCCCTCCAAATCAGAGGCGCCCAACTCCAGTGGTCAGGATCAACCGCTGGATCTGAGCCTGGGGACAAGAGGCCGTGGTTGCAATCCGAGAGAAGAGGAGACAAAGAATAACATGGGTTATGAGGAGGAGAAAGCAGTGGTGGAGATCCCGAAAGCTGACACTTCCTTGCAGCATGCCAGGCCAACTCCTTTCTTCATGGACCCCATCTACAGGTATTGTTATTCCCAGTAGCTTAATTAACAAACATATTGAGTTTCTAAAGTCATTTGAATATTTTACAAGTTTTCATATGGCAGAAATTTGCTTCCGTGCATGCGTTAAGAGCTGACAGAAATCTACTATTAGCAGGGTTGAGAAGAGGAGAATGAGCGATCCGTTTGAGTCTCTGAAAGACAAGTACATGCGGCCAGCTCCAGGCTTTCTCTTCCATCCACAGGTGAGTTCTGAGTTTTATATAATTTTTTTGGGGGGGAGGGGAATAAACGTTCATCTCATTTGTCTCTAGCATTAAATAAATAGACAGTGCAGGTGTAGTTTGGGGTAGCCCTTTGTCTGTCCTGCCCATTTCATTTTAGATACTTGTAAATGATTGCATCTATCTTGTAACCTTGACAATATCACTGTTACAGGTCCAATTGTAGTTTCCTTTATCCAATGAGATACTGTAACAGCATTATGGTAGACCCCTCAAGATATCTTATGAGTCTTTGCATAAAGAGCTATAATTCAGAATGGTTTTCCTTAACTGAGCAATTTGGATTAATGAGGATCAGTATGTGGCTCCAGCCTTATCCGAGCTACTGCCCGTTAAGTCAGTTGTTGTAGGCCATCAGATTCGAAACAGATGTGGTAGAAGGGCATTTTCTGACATGTCTTCCCATAACATATCTTTGATTACATTATAAAAACTGATATGCTTTTAAAGCAAAGATTTCTGCCCCTGGGTTCAGTATTTCTCCATAGGTATGTGTGTGTGTGTGTGTGTGTGTGTGTGTGCATGCACGCCGGTGTATGTGTCTATGATGTATTACACTGACGTTCATTTGTTCAATCTTCCCCCGCGGGTGAGAACGGTCCATCGGAAAGTGAAAACACCACTTTCTCAGGCATATGATTTTTTTTTTTTCCTCTTTTCTGGCCGTTTCAGGTCTGGTTTTTACAGGCTGTTTCATTTGTCTGATTTATGTCCCCTGTCCAGACTGCTGCTCAGGCCCGGCCTGCAGCAGCCACATGGCCGTCCCACATGCCTTAATGAGGTGTCCTATCAGTAGAAACACTAACAGAGTGCTTAGGCCATCTTTATGACTTTATGATGTCTGGACACACAAATCATTCCCAGAAACACCAGACTTGGGTGGGTCTAAGCCAGACCAGGCATGAGGCCCTTCTGTATACTTTTGAGGGGGTTTGTTTCACTCACCTGACTCACTCTTGAGACGTATATATTTGAAAAAAAGTTGCAAAGCTGAAGGATTGGAATTTTTTTCAACCTTTGGTGATTCAGCTTTTTATTTCCTGGCAGGAAACTTTACTGCTAAGTAATGATGGCTTAGATTACATGACTGGAATTGTATTTGTAGCGTGCTTTAATGATCTTATTGAACACCAGGAAGTGTTGGGAACTACTAGAGCCTCCTATAATTCCCGCGCTGTTACTCGGTCAATAGGCAGCTCATTCATCATTCAAAGTTAATCACACCGAGACCCATCATTCGCTTGTATGAGTATGTGTCCAATAAAAAAAAACTGTTGATGCATACATTACTTCCTGGTTCTGACTGCTGTCTCTTTTCCTTCTGCTCCGCCCCTCAGTTTCGTTTGCCAGATCAGAGGACTTGGGTAAGTTCCTCTACCTGTATCTCTACCAAAACAACAACATCCCCTTGTTAACACATGGGCTGAAATAACAGTTTACAACTGACATCACCGAGCATTTGCATGGTCTTAGACCATCACTATCATGCACTGACTGAACTGGTGCCCATGTCTGGCCAAGGAAACACTTTTCTGTTTGTTAATACAAAGAAACTGCATCTTAGTGTTTGTATTGAACACCTTATATTATTCTTACATGAATACATGATACTAGAAGTATCCCTTCTCTGATTTACATGAAAAGTTTTTTAGAGGGGATTTCCAGCCAAGCTACACCCAACAGCTCTGAATATACAGTATGTTTGCTTATTTGGAGAATGAAGCAGGGCTTTTGCAAATGGGCATTGGGGGATGAGTGGAGGGTGGGGTGAAGGGTGGTGTTTAGGGGGGCTGCTTTACATCAATGCGAGGGTAACAGTCTCTTTGGGACACTGTCAGGGGGGCGAGTCAGGGGGGTTAGTTCCTCCCTCCAAACATCTGGTTCCTGATAAAGATCAACAATTGAGAATGCTTCTTGCTAATTAAGGCCCTCACAGCATCACTGACATCTGAAGATAGCCAATCAACTGCTGGTCCCAGTGCGACGCTACAGCAACAAGCAAGTTCACAGACACACACATACTGCCCAGGGGCAAGACAAGGGGGTTTTTGGGATATGTGTGTGCGTGTTTGGAGGTTCTCCTAAACAAAGGAGTAGAGGGGGCTATAAAACCTTTGAAAAATCGCTTTAGAGCTAAATGTGGAGCCGTTTATCCTCGTGTCCCTTTAGTCGAACATTTCACACACAAAGCATTGTCAAACAGTGGCCTAATGAACCGGGTTCAACATCCATAAAAACAGCTCAAGTGTCTTATGGGGACTGATGCCTTCTACTTTGAATCATTCAAGTGTTTAATCTCTTGGATTTGATATGTAAATAATTTACTGCTTGACCTAAATCAAATAATATGAAATACTGCTTTAGAGGTAGAAACATATAGTGATAAAAAATATATATTATTTTGTCTTACACTAAAATGGACCATGCAGCAACGGTTTCAAAATGTGTTCTGATCCGGAGAATTTTTTTATTATAAACAAATCACATGTTTGTAACATGTACAGTGCCTCGAATTTGTATGATACAAAAATGTTTGAGATGGGAACGGTATTCTCCGGTAGATGGAGTCAGGATGGAGTACTTTCAGTACTTCAGCTTTAGGGGCCCTAATGTTCCAAAGAGTTACGGCTCCTCGTTGAGCAAAGCAGAGCCTTAAAAAGCACTCGATGAAATACACAATCCAGATTCAAAAGAAATATGAAAACATTTCACCTCCTTTCTCCCCACAACTCCTCGCCTTTCTTTCAATGTGTTGCCTTTTCTTTTTTCTCTTGTTCTTGCTTTCTGTCTTTCTCTTCTCGTCCCTCTCTTTCTCCTCCTTTGCCTTTGATTCACGGCATGCAGCAATGGCATATTCATAATCAAGCAGACCTGACACTCCACATCCTCCCTCAGTGGGAACGTCGACGGCTGCGGCAGGAACTTTACACTTGGCCGTCACTCCTAATCAGCCGCTTTCAACAGCAGGCTCCACCACCATTCATCAGCCCTCTCTTTCTCTTCACCCTTTCTCTCTCTCTTCCTTACTTGCTTCGTTTTGTCTTTCTTCATTTTTTTCCTTCTTTCTTTTTATTTCTTTATATCTTTCATTCCTCTCCCTTCCCAGTCTTCTCCCCTATCGTCTCCTTCATCATGTTTCTTCCTCGATTCTCGTCCCCTGTTTCTTTCCCCTCTGTCTGCTCCATTTGGCGTGAAGCCTGAGAGTGACAGGGGGTGAAAGCAGGAGATGAAATGTCAGAGTCGGAGCAGGGCTCTGGTGGAGGACCCGAATCACCATTGATTTGTTGCCTTATTGAAATCAGAATAAGGAACAGGGCGAAAATTCAATACACGCAAAATAATGCAAATTTGTGTGGGCCCTTGCAAAAGAAAAAGAAACCCTGTGTGTGTGTGTGTGTGTGTGTGTGTGTGAGATGGGCTGACAGGCCCTGCGGCCTACTGGGACCCCCTCAACCCACCCCTCCCTCTCCTCCTCCCCCTAGTTCTCCCTTCACTCCCACTGCAGCCCCCGCTCCTCCCCCATCCCGCCCCTCTCAGCACAGCGATATCATTATTACCCGTGTCTGGCCCTTGATCAGTAATGTCAACATCTTTCATATTGACGAATGTGCTGTCTGCCTGCATTGTGCACAGAATAGTTTACAGCCCAGCAGTGGACATGAATCACTCCTCTGCCACACACACACACACACACACACACACACACACACACATACACACACATGTACATACACACACACACACACACACTCAAGCACACATACAAACAGGGACATGTATCTGACAGCACACAGACACTTACTAAACACGTACAATCAGGCTCACATATAACGCATATGTCTGAAAGTGCACACTGTTCACACACACACACAGACACACACACACACACACACACACACACACACACACACACACACACACACACACCCACACACACAAACACACACACACACACACATAGTATTCGACATTACTAATACATTCTTTTCTCTCACACATATATTTTCTTTTTTGCACACATTGATGGCAATTAATCAACTTGGCCACCATGCAGCACATAGTTTATCATTCATATCCACATAGACACTGACACACACCTACACACCTACACACACACACACACACACACACACACACACACACACACCCGAAACACACCACACATACGAACTGACAAGTCCACATATCTCCTCTGAGAGTATCTGATGAAAGTAAACGTTCAGCTTCATTAGAAGATTGGCTGTGGTCCTTAGTCCTCTCTGTGTGTGTACGTGTGTGTGTTTGTATGTCATCACATATACATTGCACATCTATGTTTAATAAGGGAACGAGAGTCGGCTGAATTTAACTTTCAAAGTTTTACACCTGCTCTCTGCTCACCATGAATGGGAACACACAGTTTTTTGTTGAACTACAAAGTTATGAATCATTATCGAATGTACTTGTCCATGCACATTTGGCAGGGATTTGACCTTGTGTTTCATGAATCATTGATGAACATCATAATAAGAATTCACTCCATACCTGTTTGACTTCATTTCACCTGCTGCCAAGATGCCCATAAACAACCGCAAATCTGTCTAGAAAGCGTTCTTTATATATTCAGTAGAGGCAATTAACAGTCAATCATAAAGAAACTAAATCTTTTTGAGAGGACATGGAGAGCATAATGTGAAAATGTTTGTATGTAAAAATGCATTGTTGCATTAGCCCCTACTGCTATATTTGTCTTAATTATCAGTGCATTAGATTTTTTCAGTGGATTGCTGTATTTTTGCAATCAAAAATCAAAAGTATTCAGCAACATAATTGTACAGCTATCTACAGCCTGTGATAATAATAGAAACATGGCAAGGAAAATTGTCTGTGTTTTACCCAGAGTTAACCCTCTCTCTCTGTCCGTCCTCTCGTCTGTCTCCTCAGATGTCGGCCATAGAGAACATGGCAGAGAAGCTGGAGACGTTTGGGTCCTTGAAGCCGGACTCTGGTGACCTGCTGCGCTCCGTCCCCTCCATGTTTGACTTCAGAGCCCCACCGTCTGCACTTCCAGAGACGTTGCTACGCAAGGGCAAGGAGCGCTACACATGCAGGTAACTCACGGCGATCGGTCATGCATGGTTTTTTTTTGTCCATCTTTAACTTACATTTTGGTCACATGTCTTTATGGCATTATTTTTCTGTGAGTGGTGAGTCTTTCAGATGTTTCTCATTCCCCTTTTTTTTTAGCCTTAAAGATACTAAGGATGACTTTCGTACAACTTCTCTTTCATGTGTAGTCTGCACATTAGAATACTGCAGTTTTTTAAATAACTACTAGATGTAGGAACACCAAAGTTGAAAATGCTTTTTATTCCATATAGATATTGTGGAAAAATATTCCCTCGCTCTGCTAACCTGACACGCCACCTCAGGACTCACACAGGAGAGCAGCCCTACAGGTAAGAATATTTCTACCATTTTGAAATGTAACGTCTATAGGAGGTTTGGGTGAGGATACTTGAAAATTATCAAGCAAGGAATCCGATTTGCTTAACAGAACTTTACTGGTGTATTGCTTTCCCTACAAGAATAAGTGAGAGCCGCAGACATATGCTTTCACACAGTTCAGAGAGAGGAAGCTTGTTTGTTCCCAGCACATGGATGTTTTTCCTAGAAAATTCTCCTCTACAGATAACATGTGTTTTGTAATGCAGAAAAAAAGCCTGAATAATTAGCCTACTGCTAAATAATTAGCCTGATGAGGAATGGTGTCTTTCGCCAGGATGACAGGAAAAAGGGGGGGGGGGGGGGGGGTTGTATGGTAAGGAGCAGAGCAAAGGGGAAGGGAGGAAGTTTGCTGAAAAATTGGGGTGATGAGGAACACGGGCAGATGTCCAGGCCCGGCAGCTGTGGTCATTTCTCTTGTGATGCGTACAAGGCCAGACTCCGACTGATTTAAAGGTCGACTGGCCACTTGCCGCACCAAGCTATACTTTCTTGCCAACTTAAAAAACATTATCATAAGTTTAAGTTCTTATTTTTTGGAATTAGAGTCTAATAATGTCGAATAGAAAAAATATACACAAAGTTTCATAGCATTTTGTTTCATGGGAAATCTTGTTGTAAAAGTCTCGCTGACTTACCTCAACACTGCAGGGCTCTCCAGGTGCTGCTGAGGTAAAGGTAACAATGCAGCAGCCGTTCAGTACCCAACTAAAAATGAATCTTGCACATTTACAACATTTTGGATAATGAGTATGCCCTGGCTAGCAGTGCGCTGCTTTGTAGTTACTAAGGTAGTGGAATGTTGCCCCAAAGCTTGCAGGAGGACTGCTGACCACAGGGGAGAGAGAGAGAGACAGACGCAGGCCTCGACTGCCCCAGCCTGATAGCCTGCACTCCACACGCTGGCATGCCATTAAAGATCACCGCTGTTTATTGTAATTTTTTTGTGGAGATAACCGGGGGTTTCCTGAGGGACAGCCAATCGAGCGAGCTAATTCCAGCAGAAGAAAAGATGTAATCTTCTCGTATAATTTTGCATGGAGAAACTTGGCAAGAGGCTCGTATTTTGCAGGGCTAGAACCAAATCTGTTGCGTGCTTATTTTCTGAGAGAAGAATGCAATTTTATTGCGCTGGCTGGAGATAAGAGGCAGAGCTGTTTCACCTTAAACAAGCTCCTCCATCATGTCTGGGACTGTGGGACTGCTGGGATTGTGTGTGTGTGTGTGTGTGTGTGTGTGTGTGTGTGTGTGTGTGTGTGTGTGTGTGTGTGTGTGTGTGTGTGTGTGTGTGTGTGTCCTGCATTATGTATCCTGTTATGTTTCCCATAGAACAAAACCATTCATTTTGCAGCGTTGTACTAACCACTTGTGTTTGTAACTTGTGCATTTTGCTGTTTTGTCAGTAAATCGTTGTCTAAGTGAGAGGCCTCTCCTTTCCCTGCAGGTGTAAATACTGCGACCGCTCCTTCAGCATCTCCTCCAACCTGCAACGTCACATTCGCAACATTCACAACAAAGAAAAGCCCTTCAAGTGTCACCTGTGTGATCGTTGCTTTGGTCAGCAGACCAACCTTGACCGGCACCTCAAGAAGCACGAGAATGGCAACCTGTCAGGTGAGAGATCTTGGACATGCGTCTTGGACTTTGCTGTTTCAAACCTCTTTTCCCCACTGTTGCTAGGAGAGATTGAGAGCTACTTTGCTGATTTGAGAAAAACATTACTCATGATTGGAAACACTCAAAGAAGCTGAAAAATTAAATTACATAAATCTGTCATCTTCCTCTGCAATGGCAAAAAAAAAAAAACAATATTTTTTTTTTTAAATGAGCTGCTTTCATCAGCAGCACAGCTTATGGGTTTGACAGGCTGCATCGCTCTGAATCAGCAGCTAAGAGTAACAGTCCTCAGAGGATATTTTCACTTAATCAGACATAATGTTTACTCTGTCTAATGCTCAACTCAATTATCTATCAGGGCTTTCCATTTGCTGCATCAGTCATTATATCAATTCAATTCAAAGGGCTCTATTGGCACGGGAAATATACGTTAACATTGCCTAAGCTAAATTAAAAATAAAACACAAAGTTAAGTACAATTAAAGAAAAACAAAATGTAATATTTAAGTAACAGAGCTGTGCAGGATTGTGACATTATAACATGTATAAACATAGAAATAGTTTGTCTTTCTCTTAAAAGTTGAAATCGTGTCTTTGCTTTTAAAATATATACAGATGACTACAACTTACCAAAATATACATTAAAAATGAAAGTAATTATGATTATTTTTAAGTATATTTACAGCTCTATGGTTTGTTTGTATGTACAGTTGTTTTCTGAAATAAATGGTGCACATGATGGGGCAGTGGTACACGGATGGTTATATCCGCAAAAGTGCAACACAACTGCGATCAACTAAAAATTGTTAAGCAGAAAAGCCTTTGTTCACATAGTGAGACACTTTGTGACGTCCCTTACGAATACATTCTGCGCTGCCAGGTTTGTCCAAACTCACACCTTTCATTCCAATGGCAATCAAGATCTCAAGATTTCCAAACACACCAATTATTTCATGGAAACGTTCCTTTGACGTGTGCATTAACATGATGCAAAATCCATCTTTGTCCGAATGACCTCAGTTCTCCTCTAACATCATCTCATTCATCATCTCTCATAGTGTAAAAATGTTCCTTAAAAATACTTTTTACACCACAAAGCCTCGATTTAGAAGTTTATTTTAAAGACATATTGGTGAAAAGTAAACATGCATTTGAATTACTGTTAATAATGAAAAAAATAACGCAATATCTTTTTTCATTGTAGGCACTGCAATGTCGTCCCCACGGTCTGAACTGGACAGTGGCAGCGCCATTTTGGATGATAAAGAAGACTCTTATTTCAATGAAATAAGAAACTTCATCAGCAACGCAGGCCAGAACCAGACATCACCGGACCCCTCTGAGGAAGGGTGAGAGCAGTTTTATGTTTTCATTTCCCTAATATCTAGACAAACCTTTAAGAGGAAAATCTCAGTTAGCTCTTGGTTACACATCATGTCTGTACAGCGGGTACAAAGAGGATCAGAGCCTCCTGGCTTCACCTGATACCCAACCTACATGACTGTGTGTTGAACTCTTGCAGTAATTGTGCCAACATTAAGATTATTAGACATACAAACGCTTGATTAAGTATAAATAATAGGTCAGCTGCTTACAGCCCGTAAACCTGCCTGCATTTTAATACCACCCAGCCAGCCTGGATAATTATCACATCATGTTCAGAGGTCTGGAGGACAGAGCAATTATCTGTGATGACATTTAAGATAATCGCAGGTCCTGTAAATGTACAGGAGCCCATTTTATCTGTTTCCTTTTGGCCTCATGTACAAACAGATATCTGCGTGCATGCAACTACGTCTGAGCATTATGCAAATAAATTCTTGACGCTGCGATCGGGTCAGATAGCAGTCGAGAGGTCTGCTCAGGTCTCGGAGTTTGTTTTCACGTACCTCAAATCAGTGTGATCACGGGGCCGATTGCAGGTCTAGATTGAGATCTGCAGACTGGTGTGTGATTGTGCAGAAGGCCTGTGAGAGCAGGACCCGGCGGTAGAGCGTCAGAGGTGCAGGGGGGGGAAGAGAGAAGCAGGAGGGGAGGGGAGTGCAGAAGTAAGCTCAGCACATCTGGAACCAACATGTCTGCCTACAGGAAGAGGGTAGAGGGGGTGGGGTCAAAGGGTCGGCCCGTGTTTCCTTTCAAAGTGCTGTGCTCCTGACTACTTCTGATAGATACTTTATCCTCTGCAAATTACCACGTTTGAAAGCGTAATTAGCGAATCTGTTTTCTTAATCATAGAGCTCTCGCTCGCTTTTTTTTGGGAGCCGGTTCCTTTTTCTCTGCTCGGCACGGCAGAAATACCATCAGCCTCCAACTCTTAGTCCCAGCGGGAGCTTTGACGAAAACGTAATTTCATGAGCTGCTGATAGAAGAGAGATGATGATCTCTCTGTATTGTGCATAAGCTAACATTGAATGTGCAATAATTCCAATTCCTCTTCAGGTCTTCTTTGGTCACAGCTCCCTCAAAAGCGCCATTTAAAATCCAATGCGTGGCAATGTGTGCTGATATGCTTGACGTGTTTCATTTTCAATCTACTTCTTTTAGTACACTCTATTCTGAGTTCTCTCCTCTGAGTCCTTTGTGCGAGAAGTGGCATTTTTGGGAGCTGACGAAAGATGTCCCAGAGTGTAATTAGTGAATCAGTCTTAATGTGGTTCCAGATGATTTACCAAATAGCGGTTTCCTGTGGCGCTGAGACAGAAGGACAGATTAAGACTCAGGCAGTTTGGATAGCTCGCCCTCTCTCTCTCTGTGGGGATAAAAACGAACAGGCTGGTTGGCAATGCTCACAGAACTCTCCCACCAAATGGGGCTGTCAGCTAAATATTTTGCCTATTAGATGAATACAAGATAGTTGAGAAAATAAACAGGGAGAGAGGCGAAGCACTCCAGTTAAGTGCTGCAATGATCAGCTCAGTGCTGCCGTGCCCAAAGGGGCCCCAAACGCCTGTTGACAAACGAGATTCCGGCTCTCTCCAGCCCGGCTGACGTGTGCTGCCTCAGATCCACCTCGCTCTGTTCTCTATCCCCAAAACTCCATGGTGTTTTAATTAGTGAAAATGAATGACACAATAAAGTGTAGGATGCAAAAAAAAAAAAAAAATGTACACAAGTTAAAGTCATTGTCATTATTTCTGCAAAATATGTGCACTTTGCCAAGCTGTACGAAGTAATCATTACTCCTGGCCTGCAGGTTAAACGGTGGTCTGTTTGAGGAAGAGAAGCCGCTGATGGCCAGCCAAGGGTCACGTGACCTGGAAGATGAGGAAGTGGAGGACCTCGGTGCTGATGAAGATGAAGGAGACGAGACGAGCCACACCCCAGGGAAGCAGGAGGGCGAGGTGCATCCTAGCAGCAATGACATCATACAAGATGAGATGGACTTCAGTGAGCCCAACGACATAAACCTCAACTGCAAAACCTCTCCCAAGAGGTATTTACAATACAAACCCACATTATGTAAAGATATATTTGACTCTGTGTGGTTGATGTGCTGTTAAGTATCCTGAAAAGTCTTTATATCAATTTTTCTGTTTCACCTCCAGGTACAACGATGAAGAGGAGCAGAGTGGCTACTCGGCCTTGGATCATATTCGTCACTTTTCAGACATGCGCAAGCTGGAGGAGAGTGAGCTGAGTGACGGGGACGTAGACGCAGATGAGGACGATGGATCCTTCAGCTCCCCTTCTCTGACTGAAGCAGTAAAACAGCCACTGTTTAGAAAATCCAAGTCTCAGGTAGGACAGACAATAAGATAATATCTTTCTGAACCCTTGTTTACCACTGTATACTATAAGCAGCATGGTAGTTAACTTTGCTCTATCTCCTTCTCCCTCAGGCGTATGCCATGATGCTGTCTCTGGCTGAAAAGGACTCTCTCCACCCGGCCACCCACAACCCGGCCACCATGTGGCACAGTCTGGCTCGGGCTGCTGCTGAATCAAGTGCCATCCAGTCCCTCAGCCATGTATGATGACACCCCTCAAGCGCTTTCCCTTTCACCTTTCAACCCCCAGAACCTGACCTATAGCACTGGGAGCCCATTAAGGGGTCTACGTGCGGTGGCCCCTGATCGTTCCACAGAGTGACTGCTGAGCAGAACCACGGCCCATCTGACTGCTGAGCAGACCGCCTTACTCACAGAGCAGGGTCCCTGTTCCTGCAGAGCCCACACAGCCCGAACCTCAAAAAAAAAAGCCCATCAGATAGAGAACAATACGTCCCTCTGAGACCTTAAAAAATAAAATTTCAGAAATAACTCCATCCTGGTGATAGCAATGGTGATGAGGATGCGGTGAAAATAATAATGCTAAAGTAATAATAGCTGTATTTATTCTGCTGAATTTCTATGTTTTGCACAGCAAAGGCAGCTGGTGGACATGGAAGAAGGATGTGCTGATGTATCATCGCTACAGAGCACATCCAAAACAAGGAGAACATTCTATGCTGAAAAGGTGATTGTGGTTGTGTCTCTAAGACAGTTTCAGCCCAGGATGTTTCACTGTGTGCATAAGAAGCCTGACTCATCTGACTAAATTCTGTACAAATTACCTGTAACCCCTAGCGATCCACAGGAGTTCCTCATAAATATGTACTTGATGATAAAAATGAAGGGTGGGGTTAGTAACCTCAGTGCAAATGGAAACACTTCATGTAAGGACAGCGTTAGCGGCGCTTTAATATAACTAAAGTCATTGAAGAACAAGTAAAAAAAAAAAAAGTCATTGTTGAACTGAAATCAGGCCAGTTTCCCATTATGTGTTTTCATGGCTGCGTGTGTCTGCACAATCATAGCACTGTACACAAGTGTCGACCAACTGTTCTCGTCTGCACTCCATCCTGCCCGCCTGCTCTATCTGTGAAAGGATATAAATAGATTGTCTTTTTAGTGGAAGAGAAGAAAAACACAATGTTTCCTTTTTTGTATGTTTGTTTTTTACTGAGATAAGTAGTCAGTGCTGAAGTTAATTGTTGTTCTGTAAAGGACATATGTCTTTCTTTTTTTTTCCCCCCAAGGCCCTCAAATCCATCCTAGTCATGTCAGCCAACAATACCACTAATTAGCCTGAATGCTAGTCGTTAGCTTCTCCATGCTCGTGTGTCTTTCATTTTTAGACAATCATTATTTTGTTTCCATTTTTTTTGTTGGTGTTGTTGTTGTTATTTGCTGTTGTATGTTGAGAACTGTATTTATTTCTTGGCAAACTGTAGTTTGTTTACTGAATAGCACTGCTCTTAGCCCAGGTGAAGGGGAGATTCCTCACCGGGCCTATCCCAGAGTTCCATGGGGTTTGTAGATTGCATTTGAGTGCCGGATAGTATTAAATATACACTTCACTCCTTATTCTTCTAATGAAACCGGTCGATGAATAGATATGATGTAGTTTTTTTTTTTTCTATGACAATTTAACGATTCAATTGTAAAAAATGAAAAACAATATAAAGAATGAGTAATAAAAAAAAAAAAGCCAGGTATAATTTCTTCATAAACGCATGATTGGTCTGGTAAGATCTGTATCTGACATTTTCTACGGTTGTCTGCAAGCTTGTGTGATGTTCGGTTCATGTTAATCTCTTGTGCCAAACTTATGATAAATAACAGATTACTTTCATTTATTCTCCCGTTTTGAGGGACCAGATTTTCTGTTTGTTTTTGTCGTTGTTTTGTTTATAATCGATTTTAAAAAGTAATCAGCAAGTTGAGGTACTTTGTTTTAATGCTTTCTACAATGTAACTGTTATGCATTTCAATTCAATACTGTGGGAGGAACAACTATGAAATAAAGGATTACAATATGGATTGACATGTCTTCCTTCCTCTCTTTTTTTCTCCTAAAACGCTTTTTCTAACACCACCCCTCTGGCTGCCCATCATCTTGGCCCGGACAGGGATTTGTACTCAGAGACGTGAGTCAGAAAACCACCTGGCGCTTTCTTCTGGCGCTCCCATGGCCTCCAAGAGCGAGGGAAAGTCTGAACTCTGGTCCTCTTTTTTTCTCCAGGCTTTGGCTCGCATAGAGAGAGGGAAGAAGGAGAGAAAAGGCTGGAGAGGGCCTGAATGTGGTAGTGGGAGCAGAGGCAGGAATGTGTCCTCTTTATTTGTGTCCGTTTGTGGGGCATGATGGATGAGTTTGGTAGATGTGATGACTTGGCTCATCGCTCAAACGCTCAATAAGCGTCCCATCCTGCAGCAGGCCTCCCCATCCGGCACCCCCCTCTGTCACTGCTGCCAGCCGACGTGGGCGGACATTGTGGCTGCGAGGGTTGGAGGTTCAGCGGCTCCATTGTCCGCCAACCAGCTCGGGTGGGGGGTTGGAGAATTGGGCATGACAGTGAAGATGGCTGGCGCTGACACTCCACATTTACAGTGCTCCTGGCACCCTAATGGATGGGGTGTTTTCTTAGGGCCTGTCGTCAGCCCTCAGGGCTCAGTGGGGCGTCCAGCTTTGATGAGGTCACCAGAGGTCATGAAGTGTTGATGAGGTCAGCACAGGTCGTCCAGCTTTGATGAGGTCAGCTGCAGTGATGGTGTTGGCCTGGAACATAATGGAGTGGAAGTGATAATGGTCCTGAGTATGAATTTTGCCACCTGTGCTATTATGGACAAATTTCAACCAAAATGGTCATGAGAACATGTCAGAGGTCATTCCAAATCATCACTTTTCTCCAAGTTAGTTGGTAAAGTAGGTAATTTAGAGGTTTGTAGCAATGCTATCTTCAACTGTACATTGACATGGTGAACTTCTTAGCATACAGGTTCCTATGGAGCAGAAATGAAAGAAAAGTTGTTTTTTTGTCCTTGTTATGCTAATGACTTCTATTTTTGCAATGCATGTCTAATGTATGTGCTCCAAAATATTTATGTAATACTGTAAGTGCAACTGAGGAGCAAAATACGAGCGAGAAAATTATATAGCCTTGAGAAACAGGTCTTTCCTGTTATCGACACGGGGATTATCCAAAAGGGAAATAACTCATGTACTCAGGCACAATTAAAACAATGTAGAAACAACCCTTCAACTAGCTTTTAACAAACAAGAATTACACCTTGACTACATCTGGGAAGTCACTTAGCTGGATGATTCTGCCACCACCCCTCTTTGGCCCCGCCCACGCTGCAGTTCAAATCGCCTTTGTAATTGCATCACGGACAAAAAAAAGTCCAAAGGCACAGCCCCTTGAAAGAACACCAAAATATCATGAATAGACAGTAGTGTGTATGAAGCCTTTGTATGCAAGGAGGGCGCATAAGTGGGTTTGGCAGATACACATTTAACTGATGTGTGTGTGCTGGTTTGATCAGTGTTGATTAGCAGATGCCAGTGTCACCCATGTATCCTCTCACACTTAATCAACACGCTGGGACGAGTTATTGCCATCATTAACCCAGAGCTTTTCATAAAGGGCTCAGTGTGTATTGAAGTGTGGCTGGCAAGGCCCTGGGTGTGTGTGCATTTGTGTGTGTACGTGTATGTGTGTTCAAAGAGCTGAGGAAGTCGGACAGAAAGAGAGTGCATTAGTCAGTGCAATCAGTTCTAGGTAAATGTGAAATGTGTGTGTCAAAGGAGCTCGATCCCCAAGCTGCTGTGTCCTGACTGTGTGTGTGTGTGTTTGTGTTTGCGTGTGGACGGGTGGGCACACTGTGGGCACCGCTCACAGGGGCCCGGAGCCACTCAGCTAATGGGGCAGCTGGCACAGCCTCAGAATCCATCAGACCTCATTATGGCTCCTGTTCCGCCACTGTCCACTTTTTCTTTCCTCCCCTCCGTCTTTCCTTTCCTCACCCTCACCTCCCTTTCCTCTCCTTTGCCAACCCTGTGTGGCATGTAACTGCCTCGCTCCCCTCACTGGAACATACATCACACCCCCAAAGGAAGAGAGACGGGCCATCACAGCTGGCAGCTCTCACAATGATTGACTTGGCACCCGTGCTGACTCAGACGCCAGGGGAAACATTTTGGTGAGGGAGTGTATAGCCCATGAGGAGAGGTGAGGAGATTAGTGGGAGGGGGGGGTTGTATAATGTAGTACTGGGTAACACTTGGCATAAGTGGAAAGTGTGTTGGGGGGACGGGACTCCACGACTCATCACATCAAGTTTTTGTTGTGTTTACAGTCCTGGTAGCACTCCTACGCTGAATTCACTTCAGTGTGTGTGCGTGTGTGTGTGCGTGTGTGTGTGCGTGTGTGTGTGTGTGTGTGTGTGTGTGTGTGTGTGTGTGTGTGTGTGTGTGTGTGTGTGTGTGTGTCTGTGTGAAGCACTGTGCCTTCTTCTTCTCTGCTCATCTTCATTTCCCCTTCCCATGCCCTATCCCTTTTAGAGAGCAGCAGAGCTTAAGGTTGTGGTTTCATCATTACACTGTTTGTTGTTCCCCCTGGAGGCTGCGGGTCATTAGTGTTATTGATGGACACTCAGAACAGTCTCGAGAACAGACCGGGACAGAGTGGAGCGGTCGTGCACATGGTTTTAATATGACGAGTGTAATCAGGACAGGCGTGGTGGCAGAACCACTTGGAGCCTGCTGCTCAAATCATCTCATTCTTTGCTCATGGAGAAGATTAGAAAGAAGCTCATCAAGAAGAAGATTGGGGTTTTCTCCTGCTAGTGCAATAAAACAAAAACATGTATGACTCACTGTCAGGCAGTCTGATTTACTTATTATTAGAATTTACATCAGGCCATTGGCTCATTATTTTTTCACATTGAGCGCCATCCAGTGGTGAGTATTCCAAACTGCACCTACCTTAATATAGTTTGATTTTAAAATTGTACCTATTGGAAAAACATTTTTATATACTTATATGTTATATGTATATATACTGTGACATCATTTCATGCTGACACATCAAACTGAAGATGACTTCACATCCAGAGTGTGGGAGAGTTCCTTGATACCCATCTTTTTTTGCAGCGTTCACATTTATTTTCCCAAGCAACAACTGTACAAATGGTGCAAGACGTGTTGAAATGATTTCCATCTCTCAGTCTTTTTTTTTTTTTTTTTTATCTGATCCGACAGCTTCATCAGCCAGAGTTCAAAACTGTGTGGCCTTCTGGGAGTTGTGGTTCAATGCAGAGGGGCAGAAATTATCTCTGGGACGTGAAGCTATGGTAGTAGAGTGATAGAATCTGCTTGGCAAAGAGTGGCATATGCTTAATTAGGGCGAAAAAGTACCCATGATGAGATCTGACTTTTTACGGGCTATTTCATCGACAGTTTCCTGCACCCTTTTTCGCTCTAGTTTAATCTTGATAAGCCTGCATTGCATACACTAGGCCAATTTTTCCCTGCACAACCCTTTAAGCACAAAGACTATCTTTGTTTTTACACTTATAATGAGACCAAAGTGGCTACCAAAGTACAGAGGTTGTCAAACAAATGATGGCTGAATCAGCTCCTTTCCCTGTAAGCCCTCTGCATACATTTTCTTTTCAGTACAAGAGTTTTTGGGCTTGCGAGATCTTCATTTGTAGCACCCTTGTCTGCTGTGGCACCCAGCGTTTGTATGAGGGGCTGATGCAGCGATGCAGTGGCCACCCAGAGCTCCACGGATGGATGGCCTCTCTAGGCCTGTTTGACTGGAAACAGGTGTGTGTCATCCGAAGATGAAGGCCTGGCCGATAAACATTATTGGAGAACATCTGCTGCCTGTCACAACACAGGGCGAGCGGGAGCGGCCCCCCCATCCATCAGCCACACCGGAGAGTGGGTGTGGGAGGGGCTTCGTCCTCTGCTGCTGAGACTGTTCACCCATCACTCACCCCAGGGATGCTGGATGTGTGTGTGTGTGTGTGTGGGGGGGGGGGTGCATGTTCAGTCCAGGCACCTGCCTGCCTCTGCCAGACCAGAGCCGCCTTTGGCCGATGGAGGAGAAAATGCTCCAACGCACTTGAAAAATGCTTTTGGGACAATGGAACCACACACACAGGAGCAGGGACTTACACACACCTTACACCGTGCTCTTAATGCTTGACCCCCTCTGGCTGATGAGGGACGTCTGGTTGTAGCCCAGCGCAGTGACATATCCACACACGGGAGCCCATAGGTCTCAGTGACAGCTGAAACCTCTCTCCCCCTCTTTTCCTTCCAACACCTTACTTCTCCCATCACACCATGTTACACTCCATTCAAAGCAAAAATTCTAAAAGAATGGGTGTCAACAGGTTTTTCCAGTTGTTTGTTTTGTTCACGGCTCCTACATTTTATTTAGACAAAATTCAACAGAAAATTATAAAGACACAGTCAGGGGAAAAAAATGTGTTTTGCAATTTTATACAGACATACTGTGACCGTATATATATATATATATATAAGAACAGTAGGTTACAGCTCATAAAGATTTCACTGACCTGAGATATGATACAGACACAAAGAAAAGAACACCTCATTAAAACCAAAAGCACATTAGGCTAAATGTTTAACAGCTGTGATTGTAGAATTGTAAACCTTATCTTTTGAAAGGTGTTGCAGCTAAAGTATTTACATCAATTGTGTCATTTTCCATAACACTTCAAATCTCTGCATCAGCTGCTGACTCAGTTAACAAGAAGTGCAAAGCATGCAAGTTTCTCCAATTGTATTTCACAACCAGCACACCCGTGATCAACGCCAATAAGGAGAGAGTGTGAAAGCCTCTTTATGGTAACCTGATCATGTTAAATTCAGAAACAACCACAGAAAAACGTATAGATAGAAAGACTACACAGATGTATTATGGACAGTTGTATTGACAACAAAATCACTCAAAAGGAGTCCATTCTTATGAAAGGATCCCGTAGTTGTAAAATCTACAGGTTGAATATGAATATGTGAAATCAGAACAAAAACTTTTATCAACAAATTCTAATCCAGGGGGGAAAACAGGATAGTAGACTTGATATGTAAAGGAAAAATAATTCACTCATTTGATTAAGTTGTATTCAATATAACAAAGACCCCCCTACCCTATAAATAAGATTTGATTAGCTTTACCAAATCATTAAACTTCGATTTAATGATTTGAACACTGTTATCTTTGAATTATTGGTGGACACATTTTCATCTATTTTTATAGTGGGGAAGTGAAATTGTACAGAATGTGCTTTTTACCTTTAAACAGGCAGAAACCTCAAACAGAAACCGGACTCATGTTGGACAGCCATCTACCTAAACTGTGTCGGGCTTCGGTGGGATAGAAGGACATGCAGACCATTAATGGGTCTGGTGTCATACATGCCAATCCTGGTCCAGTGTGTAATTAACACAAAGCAACGTTCAGCCTTTAAACCTTTTGAATTTTCTCAGTCAATAGTTCCACTCTAAGTTAAAAAATATATATATTTATGTTTAGTATTAAGGTATAATGGCTGTATTATTGCTGTCTTCCTTTGCAGTTTCCTCTGGATTTGTTTTTCTTTTTTTTTTAGAAAATGAGTCCCCATAAACTCTAAATCTGTTGAAGATGAATTTAATTGTCATCAGAGAAATGCTTGCTATTCCAATGTGCTAAATAGGATGTTTTTTGGGGACACACATAGGAAGGGCTGGTTGTAAAGGCTCTTCAGTGAAGAGAGAAGAAGGTCTTGACATGTCGTTTTCAAAATGCCTCTAACAAAGAAAACTACAAAGTCAAACTGGAGTGACATCAGCCTCTTCCAATTTGCAACGTTCATAAAGGTATTTGTGTAGAAGTCTGTGTTTCCCTGGAGATCCAGGGGTTTCTGGTCCTTTGAGGCCCCTCACATTTCAGGTCCATGTCCTGGGTGAAAATCTCCAGCTCCAGGCTCAGTGATGGAGCGCCAGGTCTTGACAGCTGAGCTCCACTTTCACAAAAACATCACATTGCAAACATCACCTTTACCAAGATGATCAGTTTAAAGCTCCACAGAGCCAAACCCCGGAGTTTGAACATCCAGTTAGGAGTCTGCACCTCTGCATAGGTTATGTGGTTTTGCTGCCTGCCCTTCTCTTTCTCTGAGACACAGAGGAGTTCAGCGAGCCTGCTGTTTGGTGCAAAACTGCTGAAAAGGAGAAGAAGGAAAAAGCAAGAGGACATCAGCACTATTCGAAAATCAAAAGCAAATGTTCTGGGGGTTTTTTTTGGAAGAGAAGTAACTGGTACGTAGACTCCCATGGGCTTGGCTTTGAGGAGGTAAAACGAAGACAGCCTGGAGGCCAGCGTCATGCTGGGTGCAGATTAAAATAACTGTCAGGAGACAGGAGCAGCTATTGAGGGAGACAGGGTGACACACGGAGTGATGGGGCTCAGCCTCGCTCACTTCATGACACAGTATTTCCCCAAAGCTGCTTCAGCTTTACAGCCTGTGACCTTGTGAGTGTGTTTAAGTGTATGTGTGTCTGTGTTAGCGTTAGCCTGGCAACCCTAGACAGAGAGAGAGAGGTAGAGTGTGTGTGTGTGTCTATGAAAGTTTAGGTTTACCTTCACTGCAGGTGGGACCCAGCCAGCTGAGCGGGCACAGACATCGTCCGCTCAGCCCGTCACATCGAGCCTTGAGGGAGCAGTGGCACGGCAGGGAGCAGTCAGGACCAAACCGGTCTCCTCCGCAGTCTGAGACAGAGGAGACAGAGTGGAAGGGAGGGAGAGATCAAATCAAGGAAAGCACTTCTGCAGGACAGACTCACATTGATAGAAGAAGGGTTTGCTGAATGTAAGCATCTACTTTTGATTTCCTTTAACACTTCTGATGAAGTTCGGTTCCCTGAATGTGACCTCTACCTTTTTCACACCTCTGCCCCGTCCTTCCTGGAGGACAGAGGCACTGTCCGGATGTTGGGTCACATGGGGCCTGACCATTACAGTCACATGACTGTCCACAGCCCAATCCAAACCTCCCAGCATCACACCCTATAAAACAAAAAAACACACACAGATACACACATACACATGAGCTTTTATTACTCTATTTATGAGCCTTTTCATCGTTTTTATCACAAGCCTCGCCCTCATTCTTATAGATAGCAACAAGGGTGGGCTTTTGGCTCATTTATAAACTTTGTAGAAAGAAAATAAAAAAAGGATGGAATTTACTGGTAAAATAAAGTCTATGTTAACAAACCCATACATTTATCTCATACCTTTTGACAAACATTTTGATGGTAAACAGCTCTATAACCTTTTTCCTTTATTAAAGATTCTAAATGTTAAATGGAACATAAAATTATTTCTGAGTCGACATGCGTTCAGGCAGATGGAAGACAGCTAACCAGACAACAAGTCAGGGGACTGTCCTGCCGACAGCAGGAAATTAAAATAAGATGAGAGCATCAGAGAATACCAGCAACAGAGATGTTGTTAACAACCCCACTTCACCATAGGAACAAGCTGCTACGTGTGCTTTGTTTTGCCTTCCTGCCATTTAATTGGACAAATACCATCAGGATTTTTGTCTGTTTGCTGTCTACTGTCTGCATGAATCCATGTGACTACGATTAAGTACAAAAAAAGTACACCACCACACAAAGTGCAAGTTCATACAGATCAACTTCACAAGTGCATGTTGTGATGAATATCTGCATACACACTTCTCAACACAGAGACATACATTTAAAAGCCTTGTGTGTCGGTGGAGCCTGTGGCTGCCTTTACAGCTGCTCTGCAATGCTCACTCACATCTCCTGCTGGGACTGAAGTGGCCATTTAGGCCCTCACACTGCGGCTGAGAGCCCCGAGAGCAGGTAGGAGGGCACAAGGATGTAACAGGAATGCATTAAGCAGTCAGGAAACACCTGTCTCTCATCAAATAACCAGTCTGCTTTCCTGCCCACCTACCTGCCAGCCCTGTCTGTCTGTCTGTCTGCCAGAGCACACTCACACCAAATCCTGAATTCATGTATGCTCATTTCTGTCTGTGTTCTGCTGCAGTGAGCCATCCAGGAGCCTGTTTATTCATGTGTGCAAACGCTTCTGTCTTCATGCTTGAAGTTTCACTGTAAATATTTTAAAAACCTTTGAAAACTTGACTAATTGGATGAGTTTTTTTATTTAATTTTTTATATCTTCCACACATCATGCCCAGAGGTGTTCGAATAAACTCACGCGTTTGGCATTGTGGCCCATGGTAGCCTGGTGGACACACACATTGGCCTGTCTCATGGTCACATGTCTGCCCCACTTTGCAGTCACACGTATGGACACAGTTTACTCCAAAGAATCCAGAAGGGCAACCTATGGGACACACAAGAAACTGAATCCATGGTTTATTGTTTCAGAATTAGAAATGACAAGAAATCACGGTGTAACGAGTTTGATTCAAGTCAACGATCTTCACATATCGACAGCATTTAACAGCAGTGTCACAGAGACTGCTGGTAACCTTTTCATCAAGCTTCGTTTTGTATTATAAGTGAGTGTTTGCATACTGTGTTGACAGGAGTGGCCGTAGTATCCAGCAGTACAGCTGCAGGAGCCAGTAAGCCGGTCGCAGGTCCCATTGTTTAGGCAGGAACAGTTGTGTGCACAGTCAGGACCATATCTTCCAGATGAACAGGCTACACACACAAAGACACAGTTTCACAATTTTAAAAAAACTATTCTGATTCAAATTTTGTTTAAAATAACAAATGTTGATCTTTACAATATCAATGTAGAAGCCATAATGTGTATTTTTGCCTCAGTTGATTATTTGTTATATTTTGCTCCTTTTATGGGTGTTTTATTATTTCTGGTAATAAGCAGTGGGCGTGGTTTACTTTATTTTCACCTGTGAATTTGGGGTGGCGGGAGACTAGACAAAGGGGTTGAGTGAGTTTGAAATATTTTCTGTTGACCGTCATTGTTATCTTATCATCATCACCTTTATCATCATCATCTCTGGACCTTTTGTTTAGAAATACTTTTTCCCTTTTTTTGGTTTTATAAATCTACAAACATATCTGGACTTTTGGAGTCACAGGTACAAGCCCACTAAGTCTCTGTGCGGCATTTTTTAATCTTAAGCCGCCACAATAATTCAAATGAAATGTTCCTTTAGATATATGTGTCTGATCTCTGCCTGTAATTGCCCTACTTTGTATTTAGCTCTTTAAAAAAACATGTGACAACTTAATGGTAAAGGGACTTGGGCTTGTATTGTACTTTTTAAACTCTACAGTCATACACTGATGGCAGAAGCTGCTACTGTATGTAAAGTGTCCATCAGTATTAACTTGACACCGTACTGCAGGAGCTGGGTATTGAACCCTTGATCTTCCGCATGAGGGACGACTGACTCTACCATTAAGCCAAAGTCGCCCCTAAATCAAGAAACAAATCAGGGTGAGCTTGCACTTAACTAGCTAATGACAGCAATTCTGTGAGGGGTGTGTTTGAATTGCATTAAGGTTGGCTGCATTCCATTAGAATATTCATATTGCTTCCTGGCAGAGTGTTGAGGGGCTTTCTTTATACTTCAGCTGTTTGTTGTTGTTTTCAAGTGTCTGATTTCCCATGAATGGAGCACTGTATTGATTAGATCAGATCATTTCCTGTTGTGTTTATCTGTGCACTTGTACCTGTCTCACAGCGAGGTCCGGTCCAGCCCAATCCACACTTGCAGGACCCATCCACAGGGTCGCACAAACCCCCGTTCTGACAGCTGCATGTGTGTCTGCACTGCAGGCCATAGCGCCCCCTAGGACATGCTGTAGAAACATTCAAACCATATCAGGACAAAAAAAAAAAAAAAAGGACGACTGGCTTTTCTGTCACACTAAAACTGCACCACACAGACAACACACAGAAACAGCGTCCCTCTGTTCTGTCTCTTTCACACACACAAACACACACACAAGATTGTGCTCCCCACATTAAGTGTTAAGCAACAGGGTCATTACAGAGAAGGCAAAGTAGTCTAATTTGGCACTGATATAAAAGAATAATCATGTTTCTCTGGGTAATTTAGATTGAGAAAACAATAAGCAAGCTATCCTCATTCCCCCTGTTTATTTGTGTGCTTCCTCGCCAAATCCAGCGACACGGAACACGGAGAACGAGCTACTTATAGGTTTCTGTAAACATTCAACAAGAGGAACTTAAGAGGCGGTGTGTCCAAGAACATGGAGGCAGGAGGCTAAAGACGAGAACGTTTAACACAGGCAGCGGTGGAAATCCCCACTTGCATTGTAGCAGAGCCGCTGATAATGGGACCGATAAGAAAATCACCAATTCTGCCTCTGTTTTTCCAGAGAAAACTGCCCTGTGATCATCAGAGGCCTCGCACAGAGGAAGTGGAGAATTTGTTACTTAATATGCAGAGAGAAAATGTTCCAAAATGCTCCCTCATTTGGTGGCCGGTTTTCACTTTGCAGTTTGTCCTTTTTCTGAAGAGTTCATCGTTGGTTCTCGTCTGATACAAATCAGGCTCAATGATGACTCAAGAAAAGGTTTTATGGAAAATAATCCATTAAAGATCCTATGTGATATCTGTAAAACTAATTTATTGAAAATTAAATAATTAATTTCATTAAGTTAATTATCAGATTTGTTTGCCTCCTTGCCTTAAAAGATGGTGTCAGATAGCAATCTCTTTGCTTTAAACTTATTATTTCAAATTAGATTACTCTGAACCAAACTGTATTTTAGTAGTATATACAGTTTTTTTTTTTTTTTTAATTTGACCTAATTTGTGTTTAATTACAACAGCACAGAACAAATAATTGCCATTCAATATTTCATTTAGGCATAAAGAGTACAAATTAAACTTTTAACTGATTGATCGTCATAAACAACACGGTTTGGGGTGACACGGTATCTCAGCAAGTGTTAATAAATCAAAACAAGCAGAGTGTTACCTTGTTGGCAGGACTGTCCCATCCTACCAGGGGCACAGATACATCTCCCAGTCACTTTGTGGCATTGTCCTCCCTCCCCACAGGAACACAGCTTAGCACAGTCCTTTCCATAGTAACCACTCGGGCAACCTGAGTGAAATAAACAGATTTTCATTCACAAAAATGAGTTCAAATCATAGATTAATGAAGATAAATGTCATCAATTCATAGGCCCTGTTTGTAGTCTAAAATCACTGTTGATCAGAAGTTCATATAAAACACAAAGGAGACCTAAAGGACCAACACCTCCATAACAATACCTAATTACTATCAAGACAATGAAGTAAGACAAGACTCATTTATCTCTACAAACAGGTGCTGCTTTCTTCACTAACTTGAGCTGCAGTTTGCTCCAATGAACCCAGGAGTGCAGTAGCAGGTCCCCGTCCTGAAGTCACAGCGACCACCGTTGATGCAACTACATCTGGACTTACAGTTTGGCCCAAAAGTCCCTACTCGACACCCTGAGACAAACCATGGCAAAGAAAGAGGTCATTGTTATGCTCTTAAAGAAACAGCACACTGGTTACAATATATGAACGTTTCACCATCAATCATGACTTACGCTGCTCACAGCGAGCCCCGTAATAACCAGGAAAGCAGCTGCATTTCCCCGTCACAGGGTGGCACAGCTCTTGGTCTCCTGAACATTCACACAGCTGGCTGCAGTTCAGCCCGAACACGCCGGCAGGGCAGGCTGAGAAAAAAAACATACAGAGAGAATTTGTTTAGATATAGAAACAAGTGGGAATTTGATTTACAAGGTCAATTCTGTGAACTTTTAGAGGCATAGATCATTGATCTGTTTGCTCTTTGAAACGAGGACCTGCATCATTCAATTTTTGTGTTCTATCTTGAGAATTTTGCTCTAATTCTTTATTTAAAATGCTCACCAAAACCTTTTTCAACATGCAGGGTTATTCATTTTCGCATCAACAAATTATTAAACGATTGAACATGCAAATATAATTCTGGTCAGGATTGTCCTTCTGAACATGCTCATGACGTTAACAGGCGTCCCACAACTTTAGTAAACCCTCTGGGATGAATACAGTTTTCTAAGTCGAAGTAAAGCTAGTCAGATATGAAACAGGTTTTTGGTTGTGCAAAAAAACATACTTTTGCACATAATATAAACAAGTTAAGAAATTGGGGTGAAAACACAAATACTAAAGTTTAAAGTAGACAAATAATGTTCAACAGCTTGTAGTTATAACGGACAACAGGATTTTTGAATAACACTTGATCTTTGAAATCCAGAAATATGTTTTTTATTCTTTGCAAAACCATACATATGCGCACAAAACAATGACCAGCTTGGAAATGTAAGCCCACATGCAAGTCTTAAAGTGAGTTTGAGAAACATTTATGAGATAGCCGAAATACTGAATTCATTTGAGTCAATTGAGACAATCAAAGCCGTCTTCAGATCATTGAAGTACATCAGAAAAATGACTGTACGTTATCAGGCTTTTAAAAGTAAAACAATTCAAGCAACAAGCAACTATTTGAACACAGGTACAGCTGTGGAACAAAAGTTTATAACATGCTTCTTGTATCCCTAGGATAACAAACATGAATGAAAAACCACAAAATCCACAACATGATTTTAAATTGTAAAATTGTACAGCTACGTCTCGTTTTGATGAAATTATGGAAACATCATTTTAAACACTCAGTAGTTTGCAGGCGAGCCATTTTTCCTTTCTTCTCTTCAGATTACTCTGTGGACATACTGGGACATTCAGCTTTGACTGGTAACAAAAACCAAACTCCCAACAACTTCCCCTGGTGCCCAAAACCCAGATGGACTGGGAGAAGACATTCTTTCACACACCCTCTTCTGCATACATACGCAAACTCTCATCACACAATAATGAATGGGGTCTATAGACGATCAGTCATAGCGAACAAGATGAATCTGTGAACCGAACATGTTTTGGGGTGAGACCGCAGCACTCAGATACTCAGTCAGGCAGCAGCAGGCAGCGTGGGGGACAGATAAGAAAGAACTCCAGACTAAAGAGGCAATTACGCTGCTGTCATTATGCATGTCTGCCTTCCAAAAGCCCTTATCCGCCGCCAAGGAGACAAAAACAATGCCTTCTGTTTTACTTGGCAACTGGTGTGTAACGTTTATCAGATGTCTAGGGAGTGAATGAGGAGAGGAAGGGAGCTGAGGTGGTTAGGCACTACAGAAGAAGGGTGTAGCAAAGCTGCTTGTCCAGAGTCCTAAATGGTACGGTCTAAATAAATGAAATATTAGCGTTCATTTCTGTGACAGTCCTAGAGTAGAGTGCGTTTCTTGGAATGGAATTTATGATAATCTTTCCCTGGAGGATGACTGGAAAAACACATTTTAATCAGTGTTAAGAGAATGATACTTGGTTATTTATCTTGGTCTTTACTCCCATGATGCCTTGCCTCCAGTGCTTCTATCGACATGGTACACATGTCAGCAAAATGGTTTTGAATGTGTACAAGTGCTCGAAACAATGTGTCAGGGCTTATGTGAGGTACTAAAGTTTCAGAGATTTAAAATTAAGCACATAAAAAAGATACGCTATGGAGCTATCATATCATTCATCCTAACCATTAAAAAACAAAATTTAATGAGGGAAATATTTGTAGTTCTGCAGACTAGTTGCCAGGCTTTTGCCGAGATACACTTCAGCCCCGTTTTCACCAAGCGGTCTGGTTCAGTTTGGTTTGGTACCATACCCATTTATTGGCTTTTCCACCGCTAAAGGTGGGAATGGTACCAAAATAAGGGATCCGTTCCGTCCTACTTTTTTGGTACCCTTCTGTTGGGGTGCCAAGGGTACCGATCCCACCCTAAAGGGTCCCGTTTGTTTACTGTGTCCCATTCTTCTTCTTCTTTGAACTTAATTTATAGCGGACTACACTGTGTCAGGCTGCTATGATGTCACACTATTTACATAGCGGACGTGGCTATCTCCATCTGGCTTGCGCTCCGTTTAACAAATAAGGATGCGGTTGGCTGTTGAAACACAAGTAAGACCAGCGTTTACCGTACCAAACTGTACTGAACCAAACCCGGGCCGCTTGGTGGAAACGAGGCTTTTATGTCCACCCTTACCTTTTTCACAGCCAGGCCCTGTGAGGTTTGGCCAGCATGGCACCCACAATTCCCTGTCTCATGGTGACAGGACACCCTATCCTGGCAGTCAAACTGTCGGCCACAGGAAGCACCGCAGGACCCCGGAAAGCAGGCTTGAGGGGTTCAATATACACACGCAGGAACACACATACTCCGTCTATCCCAATGTTCAAAGCTCCTCTATTCCCCGTTTCATTCCGTTTGCTATTTCTTCTGCCCTATACACTTACGTTTGTCACAGCTGGCTCCTCTCCAGCCTGGCTCACACTCACAGCGGCCCGTCACATGGTGGCAACTCAAACTATGGACACAGTCACACCGCTGCTCACAGCCCTCTCCAAAGAATCCCTTAGAACAGGCTTCAGACAAAACACACAATCGTTTGTGTTCAGTCTAAGAACATAATGTTTTAAAAAGGTTTCATGCTTATTTAACAGAGGCTTAAATGAACAAATTGTTCTGACACAGAAAGTGTTAGGGTTGCAGGAGAAAGAATCGTCATCGTCAGTAAGAAATAGATGGAGATTACTGGATAACAGGTCCGCTATGTATCTAGACATGTCATTGGGACAGGTGAAAAACAGATTTCAGGTAACACTGTGTACTAATAGACTGTCATGCAACAGTCATGATGTAACGTTCAGGTATAGTCACCTGTGTGACAGAGCTCTCCTGTCCAGCCAGGCAGACACACACATCTTCCCGCCACTCTGTCACATCGGCCATTCACACAGCGGCAGGCCTGCGTGCAGTTCTCTCCATAACGTCCTTCCTCACACTCTAGGAGAGAGGGGAAAGAAAACTTCATATATATATATATATAGATATACAGTATGACTGTGAAGACAAGGACAGGTTTACAAAAAATTGTTTGGGAGTAGTACTGTTGGACTCACCTAACTCACAGGCAGCTCCTGTCCAGCCGGGTGAGCAGGAGCAATGTCCAGTAACGCCATCACAAGAGCCTCCGTTATGACACAGACATCTGCCGTTACAGTTCTCCCCGTATTGTCCTGGAGGACAGGCTGCATTCACAGACACATTTACCACTTTGAAGTCAAAGACACGAGTAAGTGTTGAATTAAAACACAATATTTGTAGGTCTTCAAAAAGTTAGAAGTCATAATACATGAACTCAAAGCCCTTTATTTCAGTACCCAGCCATGTCTATTAATCAGTTACCATCATGTGTTATGGCACTAAAACAGATGCACAAGACAGCTGAGTCAACTCTAATTAGGAAGACGCTGTTCTGTTTCTAAGTGCACATGTTTTATATGAATATGCAAGAAACTTCTTTTGATCTCAAACATGTCAAATCTTTAGATAGCAGCTTAAATGACCACACACGTTTCTATTTAAGTTGTGACTCCTTGATTAAAAAATGTAGGATAATGTTTGTAATGCAGGCTTAAACACAAAGTCACTGTAACACATTCATTTTCTGATCCAATCAGATCACACTTTTTAGAGTCTGCAGCAACTTTAATGACTGTAAATCGACATTGACAAAGCACAAAATAAAGTAAACAAACTACATCCTTATTTACCAAAAACAAGGCAGCTCGGTTTGCAAAATGGATGGTTGTGATGACGGATTCATTTACAGTAAATGAGCTAGAAAAAATGCAAGTCTCTGAAGAAAAAGAAAAAGAAGGAAAACATTTGACGGTGTTTGTCACTCTGAGGGATGAGCTACTCACGCTGTTGGCAGCTGACCCCCGTCCAGCCCGCCATGCAGCTGCATCGCCCGCTGATGTGGTCACACCTGGCTCCATTCTGACAACCACAGGTCTGACTGCACTGCTCCCCAAAGTGACCCTGTGGGCATTCTGCACAAAACAAACCACACACAACTATTATATATATATAAATATATATTCACACACACTGAAATCACCCAACTTAGTACCAACTTCAGGTGCAACTGCAGCTATATTTGCAGCACTTGAACTTGTGAACTTCTCCCTAATGATCAAAGTACAAGATGGTATTTGTGCTCTTAGTAGGAGGAAAATGCACTAATGATAGAGACGCATCATTAAGTCATGCAAGTGGCTTTCTGCTGACTCGAGCACCACAAAATGGTTGCAGCTAGAGGAAAGTCTTGAATAAGACTGCAGAATGACAGACTTAGAGCTGCAGCAGGCATTTCATTGGCTTCATTAAAACAACAGCATGAAGAAGTTTAGCATGAGAACACTGATTGGTTCTCTACTAAAGAGTCTTTTGAGTTACTTTCTCCCTCTCCTAATGTTGATCACTATAAACACGTGGGTGCATTTATCCAGAATAGACCTCAATTAAGTCGTCCATGCTGGAGGGCACTTTTATCCACCCTCCTCTCTCCGCCCGTACCCATCCCTAAAAAAAGTCATCGGGCAGAGTCTCGTTATAGAGATAATTGTTCACAAACACATCGTAGTTGAGTTTAAGGAGAGGATGTCGTGATGGGCTGCAGCGAGGGCCTCCCTCACACCCCGTTTTAATGATGTGGCTTCCATTACCCAGAATGCAGTGTGGTCCTGCCCAGCCGGCGGTGCATAGGCAGGCTCCTGTGATGTGGTGGCAGCGGGCACCGTTCCTGCACTCGCACATCTGGCCACAGTCAAGACCGTAAAAGCCGTCCGGGCACACTGTGGGCCGAGATAAAACATCCGACTGGTTAGAAGTGGCAGCTTCTTGAAAAAAAAGGAGAGGAAAGGGTTTAGATACCAGCTACTTTTCTTTTACTTCTTTCCCGCATCTATCTTTCTCTCGCTCGCCTACTTTCGCTCTCTGTCTTACCACCTACTGAAAATACCAATATCAAATTGCAGCACCATGCTGTGGCTGTTCATTTGCAGAGGGGTCTGCGTTCGTTAAGTGAGCTCATGTCCCACATGTGTGGTGGATCTGGGCCACATCAAAGTCCACAGCGGCTCTGAGTCCATTCCCGTTTTTTAGGGGGAGAGGCAGAGGGGGCACAGAGAGCTGGTAATTAGAGCACCTGCTGAGTCCACAGGCCTCACCAATACACTGCAAAACAAAGCCAGGTTACTGCACCGCCCAAAGACACACAAACATACACACATGCACGTATACCTACAGTATTGCTGTCGACACAAGGACGGGAGTCTGTTTCTTATTTTCAAGGAGAGCTTGAGAGGTTGTGTAAGTGTGTTTAGAAACAACTGACACTTGGAGAGATTGGTAAATAAGGGCCGCCTGTGCACAAACACCAAGTCAGCAGCTTTGGGATGAATGATTCCCACCGCTGGGATGCAAATATTGTCTGTAAGCATGACCTCACCAGAGAAGTAAAGAATGACTCTGTTTATTCACTGTCTATGTTTTAATGGCTCAAATTTGTCACTGGAAACAAATCAAAACTCAAGTGATTTACAGACATTCTAAATACTTCTCTCTTCTGTTTTCTTTTGCAGTAGTAAGTGAGCCAGATGAGGGTTTGAATCCCAATTATGGCAGCAGCTGGCACTTCATTTACACACGTCGTCTATCTTTAAGGAAAGCAGTGGAGCGTGTCACCAAAGGAAGCTACAAATCAGGAGTGCAACAGAAAAGTGTAACGCGGTGGTTTTGTGTTTTCTAAATGCGGCAGTACTCAGGGGTTTATGCATCATTCCCCCCTCCCTCTCCTCAGCCCAAATTGATGATGCTGTCCACTCCTCCTGTTATTTTTCGCCTCGAGGCCTCAAATTGGGGAAAGTATCCTTCCTGCTCAGCAGTTTCTGGCATGGCCGTCTCTGTGTTCCCACGCTGACAGCATGACGTCTGCGCCGGCCTCTGTAGTGGTTAAGGCTGCGATGTTATTAAAGCCAACCCACTGAGGATGCTGTCATTTTAATCCAGCTGTACATTAGGGTCTGTGGTAGTGCTGCGGCTAAATCACTGTTTAATTGTCTATTGTTTGTTATTATGACGGTTTTTCTGACACCATGGCAACACCTTTCACTCCTGCTGGAAAAATGTCCCAGGAATCTTAAACACCATTTTTAATTAGGAAAAGGGCACATTAAAAATAAACTCGATTTCTTATAGTAAGTGCAATATGTTTGGACACTTTCCCTTCTTTTAAAAGCGGAAGGCGAAAATAAAGCAACACGTTTTCAACATTTTCAAGGGTTTTAATGACCCTTCTGTTTTGCAAAGTTTATTTTTGTTTATGCCAGCAGGGGGCGTCTGGTTTCCATACTAACCACGGAGAGGCAATCTGTCATCTGATATGAGCACAGAGCCTGCAAGTGTTTGCAAGTGACGACTCTTTTCTCGTTCTCTTTGTTTACAGGTAGACACACAGGGATTCAGTCCACCACACACACACACACACTCTCACACACACACATAGACACACACTGTGCCATCACTGAAAGACTCCATCTCTACACTAAATGAGACAGGAGGATTATTTCCAGATCCCTGGTTGTGTAAGAGCTGCTGCTGTCAGCCCATAAAGCAGGTCCAGAGACCACACAGCCAGGGAGAGCAGGCCACAGAAGTAGAGCGGATAGAGACAACACAGAATAGAACTTCCTGGTGCTATTCAGGGTCTATACCCTGAAAGAGGTCAACACAACAACAACAAAACAACCCGGTTTCTTTGACAATAACGCGGATGTTGGATGTCAGTTAAACCAGAGTTCTTTTTTGCTTGTGACCAAACAAGCTTATTTTAATGCAAACATCAAAGCTGCAGACCAGAAATGGAGCAGCATCCCCGTTAACTGAAGACGTGGTCCACTGTTCAGGACCCATGTCAGCACAAAAGCTTGTTTTTCTCGAACAAAGCTTGACGGAAATGTTTACCATCAACCTCAACAATGCTCATTGAAACTATTCTAGTCACAAGCTTTTAGAGTGTTGCAGATCCAGTCATTTCAACAGAAAATGTTGCAAAAAAAAAAAAACAGCCTGAGGACGAATATCGCCCACGTAGAATGTCTCAGACTCAAATGGAAAGTCATCTCTTTCCATCTGAATTCTATGAAACAGATGCGCCAGAGAGATCTGGTCCTTCTCACAAGCACAGACCCTCTTCCTGACGTCTCCTGAAGGAAGAGGCCCAGCAGAAGATGGAGAAACTGGACACCTCTGTTTGAGGAGAGGTGGCCCTCAGAAAACAGAATCTGGTCAGAACGATAGCTGTATCCCCACGGCGACGTCCAATCAGAGCGAAGTCTGCATCTGAGGCCATTAGACTGTTATGACTGGGGATGTGAAGCTCTGTTCTAGTGTGACACAGCCATGATTTACGATGCCCGGCACGCTGCAGAGGTGGTATGAATTTCTGGCCTGGTAGCACTCTCACACTAAATCTTACACTGCAATAACATGAGGCCACTTCAAGTCAAGAGACTATAATCAAGAACAAATCTATTACACTGTTAAGACTCATGGTCTGCTCGTAGCCTACTTCTTGTAGTTCAGTAAAAATATCCCTATGATGAGAAAGATATGACTTACATGAAGGCTTTGCTCTAGCAGGGTGCACGTAAAGACTCTGTAACACATGAAATACAGCCAATCTGTCCCAGAGTGACTCATGCAAATTATATCCTGGGATTTGTGTTTTTTTTATGGTTTCACTTACGACATTACACAGACAATCTGATGATTCATTGAATCTGCGCGGTGAATCACTGAAACTGTCGAACAGATGAGAAAATCAGAGGAGTGTCCTGCAGCGCCCTCTGGTGTACAAAGAGTTAAAGACTGCTTTAATGGAGATGTGATGAATTGTATTACTGTTGGTGGGGATGAGACTCTTAATCCCAGATCACTCGAAGCTGCTTTGTTATGTCCAACGAACGTGATCTCGCATTCCTCAATTTAATATGTCGTGAATTAAAGAAATGCAGAAAATCTTCACAATTTGGAGGCTGGCATATGTTAGCAGGAGTGGGTTATGTTAAGTTTGAGTTCTGTTTGCAGGTAGACACCTGCAAACAGAACAGGAGATGATGGAGGGAGAGATTTGGGTAAGTGAAGAGATAATCTATGATTACTTTTGAGATGAGCTTTGAGGAAAAAATAGCAAATCAATATACATGTTCCTAAGATCAAAATTAAAAAACAGTTAAAAATGCACAGGACTTACAAAATATAAATGGTAAATGGGCTTGAGCATGTACAGCACTTTTCTAGTCTTCTGACTACTTCTGACTACTGATGACAGAGGCTGCTGTGTAAAGTGTCCATCAGTATTAACTAATCCATTCATACGCCGCCGACAAAACATTGGGAGGAAATTTGGGTTAGGTGTCTTGTCCAAGGACACATTAGACATGTGGCTGGAGCCTGGAGATCGAACCCCAACCTTCTATTTAGGGGACGACCAACTCTACCATTAAGCCACAGCTGCCCCCAAAATATACCCTTGTGAACATTAAAAGTAACTTTTATGTTCCTGTGAATTTACTAAAAAAAACACCAACCCAACTTTAAGCCCATCTCTGGAACTCAGTCTCTAAAACCATTTTTTTTGTATTTTTATGAATGAAAAAACAACAACATGTTGTACACCTTCACTCTTCTCACAGAAGATACCATCAGGAATCATTGAAAACTTACTTTTTTCACAATAGGTCCCTGCATATCCAGGTGAACATGTACAGGCTCCACTCACGTGGTCACAGAGAGCTCCATTGTGACACTGGCACTGCTGGGTGCATCCCTGACCATACCTGCCATTCTCACACTCTAAACACAGAAAACATATGAGGGAAAGCAGGTGAGGAGACATTTGTCAAAGCAGTATTTTAAATCTAAAATGTTTATCCAAATACAGCAAGCTAAAAACAAACCCTCTTTGAACAGGGTCTAACTTCTTGTTGTGTCATGGTTGGAGCTTGATTTGGCCCCTGGGTTACATCCTTGAACTTATTCAGCTTAATGTTAAAATAAAACTCATATCTGTATTCAAGTCGGTCTCTTGAGAGAAAACGACGAACCAAAGTTAAATATTGTTAAATAATAAAATGAAAAATCCTCTTCCAGTATTGTACATGAGCTCATAAGATGTTAGAAGGGATATCTCCACTAGATGGCAGTGTTGTTTAAGAAGTGAACTCACTCCTCTCACAGTGGTCTCCAGTGGATCCAGCCTCACACACGCACTGACCGCTGACAGGTTCACAGCCCAGAGACATTTCTTTGCACTGGCATTGACTGAGGCAGCTTTGGCCCCAGTAACCAGATTCACATGCTATGAAGGAGAACAAATGATTTAGGTTAGGCAAAACGCTTTGATATTTGTTGTAGTTATGTTACGTTTTCCTCTGCAAACATATACTTTGAAACCTAATTAAAAATTGAAATGAAACAATGTCTTTCTTCACTTCTTACATGTTGAACAGTCGTTGCCAGTTTTGCCAGGAGGGCAGACACAGCTTCCAGTCTGTGGCTCACAGGTGACCTCAGGGGGGCACGAACATGACATCAAACATCCTGGCCCGTGGAAACCTGGGGGACACTCTGCAACAGGCAATGTAAGAGGGCTTTAGTTATTAAAAAAATCAGTACAAAGATTGTGTATAAAGCAAACGATAGCCACTGACAAAACTCACGTCGATCAGTGTTGTTAAATGTATGATATGATGACATTGAGTCAGGGGTCTGAAGCGAGGGTTAAATAAAATCGTAATGACGGCAAAACCCTATTTTAAAGAAAATGTTTCTGTCTCAAACATATTAATACTCACCGTTTTGGCAGACGATCCCTATGAAGCCTGGTTTGCATTCACACACACCCGTCTTCTTATTGCAGAAGCCTCCGTTCTCACAGCTAGGACAGGGTGACTGGCACTTCAATCCCCAGAATCCATCAGTGCAGTCTAGGGAGCATCAAGTATCTTTCAGATTATGTGAGCAGTAAGCCACTTAAGTTAGGTATTCCTCTGTAAACCCTAAAGCCACTTATGCTTGAACCATTTGGGGGAGAAATGTATTAAAAAGTGAGAAAGCTACATAGCTAAGGACATAGTTTCTAATTGGTCGGACTTTAAGGAGGCACTGAAGAACACAAACATCCTGGTGGTGGTTCAGACTTGGGGCTCACAATGTCAGTGAGTTCAAAAAGGTCCTCAGACTAAATCACATTTCCTGTAAGCCAACACATTACAATTAAGGCAGAATAAGTACAAAGAAAGAAATACAGAAAAGAGAAAACAAATGTACCTTCCTGACATGATATTCCAGTTTTCCCAGCAGGACAGATGCACTGTCCAGTTACAGGATCACAAGGAGCGTCTTCACAGTCACAGGGCAGACGACAGTTTTCACCATATCTCAATGATGAACAGGCTAGAAATACACAACATATGAAGTTATAAAAATAAGAAAAACAGAGAGAAATAAAAGAGTCACAAGTGACATTTAGGCCTCGAAACCACAGGAAAGGAATGTGCCAGAGTGCAAAAATGGGAAGAAAAAAAGAGAACTGCAGGAGTGAAATTTTAGAATTACTCAGTCATTTTCTGTTTATTTATTCAGCCTGTGCCAATAGCCTCTGTAGTAGTAACAGAAGTAAATCATCCCTCTCATGAGACGCTCTGAAACTAAATCTAAGTACAACCCAGACAAATGTGGATTTTTATTTTCATCCTCAGCCAGCCACTGTGACTTAACGCTGAAATACTGTAAGTCTGTTATCTGTCTCCTCTCCACAGAGACACACACGTCATGTTTTACCAGAGACTCCTGAACAATATTAAATATCACTTCAGATCTCAGCACAGAGGATTGAACTTTCTATCAACCTGCAGAGTAAACAGCCAGAGGGCACCCTGCTGTGTACAAACGCACATACTTTTGGCTGTACCTTTCTGGAATAAAAAGAACACCTACACTGACTGACCAGGTGAATTCAAAAGCATTCCTTTTTTTTTTTCATTTCAGCTTCTAAAGCCACTCAATCAATCACGTGTAGCAGAGAATGAAAAGCAATAGAAGAGACTAAAGATTTATAGGTGAATTGAAAAGGTTGAATTAGAGCTGAAATTCCGAAAGAACAGTGTGTGTTGACATAGTTCATCAGAAAGCGCACATACTAATGCATTCACGCATAAGGTACGCAAACAATAATTGCACATGTGGAAACATGTTTGCAAGTCTACACACTTCAGATATTCAAACGTAGGCTCTTATTTCTTTCTGTTAAAGATGTGGCCACTTGAGGGTGGTGGAGTGAAGTTTTGATAGGAAGTCATTTAAAAAACAAGACTTCCCTGTTTAAAATATTTAAAAAGTAAAGAAAGTTGCTTTGATTTTTGAGACATGTTTGAAACAAAAAAACAAGAAAACAATGGATTGTGTTAACAGTTATAAACCCTGTATGTGAGAAACATGTGCTTGTCAAACATGTTTATTTTGTTGCCATTTCAATGCATAAAAGCAGCTTTTCTTTGTCTCACCGTGCTGACATTTGTCTCCGTGAAGGCCTGCAGGACATCTCTGGCCGCACTCTCCAGTCCTGGGGTCACATGACCCTCCACCTGGACAGTCACATGGCTGCTCACAGCCTGCGCCAAACAAGCCAGGCTCACATTCTGCATTGGGAATATACAGATACGTAGCAAAGTGGGAAGATTAACCGGCAATAGCAAAACATTTTCCAAAGATTCAAGAATCCAAGTATGATGGTTCCCCCTAAAGACACAGGCTATTGACTTTAGACTGATCACTGTAGGCTGGCCAAGAACAACAACGTGTCCAGATTATACATTTAAGATATCTCTAACTCAGAACCGCATTGCAGGAAAACAGCACGGCTCCCAAGTTCTTACCCTCTGAGCGACTAGCTGACATTACTGTGATTATAGCCCTACAGCTGCAACAGAACAAAAACAAGATCCACTAAAATCTACGTGTGACTAAAAAGGACCACGTAAGACTGCTGACTTGACATCTTTGACATAGTTTATTCATTGGGTATCACATGCATCTATTGAATAAACGAGTTGTCATTTCAGAGAGCACTTGTACCTTTCTCACACTGTGGCCCGCGGTATGCAGCCTTACAGAAACAGCTCCCTGTTTTGGGGTCACAGCCAGTGGAATGTTCTTGAACGCAGTCACATTCCTTGGAACAGCCGGCACCGTGCGTCCACCTGGGACACGCTGAGTGGCGGACGAGATCAGTTCAAAAACAGACAAAAAAAAAACATGCATTACATTGACGTAGTGTATATGTGTATGATGAATAGTTTCAACAAGTTTTATTGTTTGTATGGTTTGGTGCAAAAAGTATGCACATATAAAGTATGCGTATCTTTGTATTACTAGCACAGAGTTACTGCACTAACTGCAACTTCCAATAAGTTTATTTTTAAAGTCAGGGAAAAAGAAAATATATTAGCTTCGCACTTGCTGCTCCTGAAAATAAAGACGGCTGACTTCATTTGGGAAAAATGTGAACATTAAATCTTCTCTATTATCATGTTACATATAAATTAAAGCCAAACAAACACACCCTGACACCATGTTATCACAACGTCAGACTTCTGCAAGTTGAAGTCATGTGACCATGTGTTCCTCCTGCATCGTATAACTATACAACTACACACAAAGTAACATGCATCATTCGGTCTTTTGGCTTTATGAAATACATCTTATCTATCTGAGAGCAGGCTTGCTATTTGAGCAAGAGATGACATGTCATAAAAAGATGACATATGCTTGGAAGGTTTTTGAACCTGGAGCACAGCTACAGTCCCACTAAGCGTTCAGAACAATCAATCTGTATGATTTTGGCCAAGATTGTCCCTGCTCAGCAACAAATCCTGAACTCCACTCCACCCTGTCCCTCTCCACATTGGCTTTATGTTAGGTGCAGCTGCAGGCTCTGGTTACACCCTCTCCACCCTCTCAATGTCCCCGCTGCAGGATGGAGCAGACAGCTGTGTGAGAAGCTGATAATATTTTTCGTGCACATTCTCCCATCACTTGGTTTGGTCTTGGAAGAGTGAGCAGCTTCATCACTGAGAAATTAAGAGCAGAACATTTGCCGCAATGTCCATGCGAAGGTTCAGGAGTAACCCTAAAACACTGGGGGATGTTAATATGGTGACAGAGGAGCTGAAGAATCTTTATTATAAGAGGCTGCTGCCTATAGAGAAGTACTACTCCTTCCATCACTTTCATTCTCCCAGCTATGAGGACGCAGACTTCGACAACAAACCAATGGTGTTGGTGATGGGCCAGTACTCAACGGGAAAGACAACTTTCATCAGGTAGGAATCAGAGTTTCCATGCTGCATGTATTCCGCTGAGAGGGTCATAATGATGGTAACGGTTGGAGCTCATTCGGCTTTAGGTATCTGGTCGAACAAGATTTCCCTGGTAGCAGAGTCGGACCAGAGCCAACCACCGACTGCTTCACTGCCCTCATGTATGGAAAGACGGAAGGAATCATCCCTGGCAATGCCCTCACAGTGGATCCAAAAAAGCCCTTTCGCAACCTCGACCCTTTTGGAAATGCTTTTCTCAACAGGTGAAACATATACAGTATATCTGTTTTTGCAAATCAAAGCTGCGCCAATATCTATTTTGTGAGAAGGATTTAGAGAGATATCTCATTGACCATTTTCATACTTCTATTTTTGTTTTTCTTGCAGGTTTCAGTGTGCTCAGATGCCTAATAAGATCCTCGAGAGTATCAGCATTATCGACACACCGGGCATCTTAACAGCTGCTAAAAGAAAGCTGAGTCGAGGTGAGAATGAATACCTTACTACTCTCCTTTATCATGACATAAGGCTTTGTCACTTTCAGTTTCATCAGTTTTTATTTATCAGTTTTGAAGAGTTAAATATGGAATGCATTGCTGCTGTCAGTAGGATTTAAATCCCTGCATAAAGGAGAGGAAATGTAATCAAATAAGAATACTTTGGCTCAACATGTTTCAAACTTTTGAAGACAGAAGTGCAGCAGCTGAAAGTAATATCACAGTGAGTGAGTTGGGAGGAGATAGACGGTCAGTAACTCAGCAGTCTCTCCTTTTGTTTTAGGGACACATGAATTTCTGGGTGTAACTCAAATGGCTCAGAAACCAATGAGGACCTCTGGGATATATCTGTTCCCTCACTTGTCAGGCAGATAGGCTTGCCCCATTACATAAAGTGTTAATGAATACCCTCTGTTTTCCTTCCTTATCCCCCAGGCTACGACTTCCCAGCAGTGCTGCGCTGGTTCGCAGAGCGTGTGGACCGGATCATCCTGCTGTTCGACGCACATAAACTGGAGTTCTCTGATGAGCTCACTCGTGCCTTTGGGGCTCTGCTGGGCTATGAGGACAAGTTACGTGTGGTTCTCAACAAGGCTGACAGGGTGGACTCACAGCAGCTGATGAGAGTGTACGGCGCCCTCATGTGGTCGCTGGGGAAAGTGTTTCGAACCCCAGAGATCTTGAGGGTTTACATCGGCTCTTTCTGGTCGGAGCCGAGGCAGACGTGTGACCACTATCAGCTGATCGAGCTGGAGGAGGAGGATCTGCTGACCGACATCAGGAACCTGCCGCGCAACGCTGCAGTACGCAGACTAAACGACCTGGTGAAGAGGGCACGCTTACTCAGGGTACGAGCTCTCATATGTCTAATTCTAACCAATACTTTGGGTAGATAGTTTCAAACTAAGATGAAGTTTTGGTTATTTATGGTCTTATATGCTTTGTTTCCTCCAGGCTCATGCCCACATCATCAGCTACCTGAAGCAAGAGATGCCAACTATATTTTGCAAAGAAAGCAAGAAGCACAACTTGATTTACCAGCTTCCTGTGATCTACACTAAGATCCAGCAACAGCAGCGAGTCCCAGCTGGAGACTTCCCTGACTGCACAAAGATGCAGGTCAAATAACTTTTTTATTCCTGTCTAAAAAAAAAACCCATACACATTCAAGTTTATTGAACTTAAACTGTTGCTTTCGTTTCAGGAGAAGCTTTTGGGTCAAGATTTCTCAAAGTTCAAGACACTCAAACCAAGTCTCATGGCCTCCTTGGATAAACTTCTGTCCACTGACATAGCAAAACTGGTGCCTTTACTGCAGCAACAGGAACTGAGAAAGAAATCTCTCCACGGTGTGTTGGATGGGGAATTTTTGGGAACCTTTAGGCGTGACCATTTCAGGAGAGACCCTTTTAAGGAACTCAGAGATGACGAGAGCAGTGAGGCAGACTTTGACGAGTGGGCCGTAGAGAAATTCAAGCCAAAGTATGACGAGATTTTCTACAACCTCAGTCCAAATGAGGGCAAACTGAGCGGCACCAAAGTCAAAGAGTGGATGACGGGCACGCTGCTGCCCAACTCCGTGCTGGCTCACATCTGGAGGCTGTCAGATGTGGACGGGGACGGCATGCTGGACAATGAGGAGTTTGCTCTGGCAGTCCACCTTATCGAGGGAAAACTGGAGGGTCATTGGCTCCCCAGGGAGCTGCCGTCTCACCTGGTGCCCCCATCAAAAAGGATGAGTACAGCCAGTGATGAAGAGTGAACATAGTAGTGGGAGGAAGCTGAGACCTTTGATATTTTTCATGAGTTTACCTGGTATAACTTAAACTGGAGGTGGCAGTTTGTTGTTTAAAAAAAGTGTACAGTGACTGTTTATGCACCTTAGACGGTGTTATCCATTCCTTTTGTATTCATGATGATACTAAATTCCTTAAAATTAACAACTAAATATCAATGGGAGTAAGGAAAAATACAGACACATTTAATGTAGGATGTATATTATACTGTATGAGTTGCATTAATCATGTATTTACTACAAACGGCATTAACCTTTAAACTTAAAATAGGCCTTAACATCATCATCACCATTGTTCTCTTGGTGTTAGACTGAGGTCAGGTTGGTACTCACGCAGGTGGCAGAAGCGGCCGTATAGTCCTGGAGAGCAGAGGCAGCCTCCATACAGACGATGACAATGTCCATTGTTGGGACAGTTACACTTGCTTCTGCAGAACCTGCCGAAATAACCCCTGGGACAACCTGTGAAACATGAGAGTGACACCTTTAAGATTGGATGCCAGTTATTGTTAAGTTAAGTATCTTTTTAAAAAGACACGAGCTAACATCTCCACAAGATTACTATTAAATAAAAAAAAACTGGACACTACTCTCATTTCTAACTGTAGAATGGCATGTCTGGCAGTGTCAAGATGCATTGCTCACACTCTGAATGTAGATCAGGGATTCCTAAGGGTTTGCTATCTCATTTTAATAGGTCAATAGGATAATGTCCAGGATAAAATAAAACAAAGGGAAAACTAACTGTCAAATGTGTCTATTCTTCTGTTTGATTGAATGATTGATTTATTGATTCATTGGACTTTATTGCCTGACCAAATTCGAAACTTATCTTGCATTAAAGACAATATATAAAAATTACAGTCATTTTACAAAACATTTGAACACCAAACATGGGATTCAATGCTTTTGATCTGGGATCAAGCTCCATATTTAATTTTAGGATGGTCTGGTGTACAAAAGAGTGCTTCAGTCTGACAATTTTCAATAAGAGGAGCACTCAAGGTTTGATGGTAAGAGGTTATATTCGCTGTTCGCAGCATGGCAGAGGTCAGAGTCAATGTTGTTAGTCAGCCTAAACCTGTTTTTACTGTAGGCTGATTCATAGAGTCTCTGGAGGGGCTGGTCTACAATCTTTCAGCAGATTTTTATTCGGAGGAGGCATTTAGACTTTAAATTGTAGGACAGACACTTGTACCATGTAATGTTACTGTGCTGCAGGATACTACACACAGAAGTAAACAATTAAATAATTTCTCTACAGTTGAACACCTTACTGTAAAATGCTTCTGCTTTAGTATTTCAAACATCGACAAATTATTCTTAATGATCTTACCCTCCATTATCCTCTGTTGAATTTACAGACATTGCTTAATGCACACCGGTGTATTTTGCGTGTGTGTATGACTTCAGGAATGTTTGTACAAACCATCCTCGCAGAGCAGGCCCTGCACCCCAGGGGGGCACAAACACTTCCCAGTCACGGGGTCACACAAGCCCCCATTCTGACAACGGCACAGGCTGTTACAGGCCTGCCCATAGGTCCCCTGAGAACATGCTGGAGAAGGAAGAGAAGGACAGAAAAAAAGAGCACTGACAGATTAATAGTTGCTAATGAATTAAAATGTGCGGTATTTCACACTCAGTCAATGTAAAAAAATAACTCATGATTAAGTAGTAAAGGCAGCCAGATGAAGGGTTGTTCTCAACAGTTTAGAAGCCAACACGTTCCATCCTGTCCTCTCCCCACAGTCTGCACACTCCTGACACCGTTAATCTATCTGGCCTTGTTAGCAAAAACATCACGAACCAGCTGGCTGTTTGAGATGTGCTAAAGTGTTACAGTGCATCAAGGGAATGTCTGCTCAATAACATCACATGCTTTCTTCCCAGCAGTTTCATGTCTTGTATGGGAAAATCATAGCAGGCTATGGAGGACAAATTGTTTTTGTAATAAACCTCAGGTGCAACCACTTGTATATAGAATGTGATGTGTGTATTTAGACATACATAAACATAAACAGATACATAAACATTGCAGGGTTCAGTGTTATGAGAAATTGATTCTGCTTTGGTTGGCACTGGCATTTTGCAAACCACAGAAATCTGTTTTAGCAGCACAAAATGATTTTGCCTCGACCACTGTACAATAATAAGTTGACAAGTTACCTCTGTGACATGATTCTGGGGAATTTGATTTTGTTTTTTGCCAATAAATTTAGACATGCACAAAGTTTTGCTTACAAGTTCAAAGTAGACAGAGTTATGTGTATGGCTAAAGCACAAGTAACATGTAGGTACATTAACTAAGAAAATACCAAGTCCAAACCATATTTTGCTACCATGATAACTAGTGTCCATCAAAACGAGATGAGAATAAAAAGTTAAAGAATTTATCTTCATAAAATAAGATTGTGGAGTGACACCTTACTACTAAGTCAAGATTTAGTTGCATTGAGAAATATTTGACCTCACATCAATTTGGCTCATCGTCTTCACCTGGAAATGGCACCTAAGTCCAGAGCTCTTACCTCCAGCTTGTGTAACTGAATGCTGCAACCGCAGGAGCGTGTTTCTAACTGTGACAGATTGCTCCTCATGGACATGTCCCACGTGTCTCTCCTCTTATGATTACCAGCCCGACTCAGTTTCAGACCAAAGACAGCCATTAATCATGGCGCTGGATGGGAACAATGCTCCCTAACCCAGTAGTGGACATCCTTGGCCTCAGGCTGTGCTCTTGCTGTGGGCCCTGGCCTGGCTCCAGCAGCAGACAGATTGATTCCCCTGGTGCTCCTGTGTTCTGGAGCCCATAAACAAGCCAGCCTCCCACGCAGAGCAGGCGACAGGTTTTGATACATGGCCCTGGATCGATGTGCACAGGGAGCTATCTCATCTCTCTCTTAAACTAGACCATACTGCTGAAGGTAGTCCAAATAGACCTGGAAGTGGATGTGCCTAAAGGGAATACCTGGTTGTGTGTGTGGTCAGTGTGTGTGTGTGTGTGTGTGTGTGTGTGTGTGTGTGTGGGTGCGTGCGTGAGTGCGTGCGTGTGTATGTGGTTATCATTTTTATGATCTTCAGTCCATGAAATGGTCTTGCCAGAGAGTCATTTATTTTTAAGATTCCTATTCACAAAGTACACAGGTCCCCAAACATCTACAAAATGAAATTATGAAATGTCTGTTCTTACTAAAGGCAACATGACAAGATGGATTTTATCTTTCATACATGCCTAGTACTCACACAGTAAACCTCAAGCAACAGCCAATAGACAGTTAGCTTAGCTTACTTTGCTTAGTTACACTTATATTAGCTTAGCAAATTTTAGCTTAGTTTAGCTCATCTTAGTTTAGCTAAGATTAGCTGTATTACAAAGGGGCAAACAGTGCCTCTAAAACTCATTAAGCTAACTTACAAATGATGTATTGCTAGTTTAACCCATATAAAAATCATGTGTAAAACCCATAGGTTAAGTCTTCGTAACTCTGTTGAAACCAGTAAAAGTCGTAAAAGTGTTCTTGTTAAATCACAAATTGTGGCTTTTACTTTTTTTTCCTGTACAGATAAAACAATAAAGATAAAACATCTTATCTAGCTTTGAGGGCAGAGCTAGCCTGAGTGTTCTCTTCTAATAGTCGTTATGCTTATAGCTGAGCTAACCAGCGGCTGTTTGCACGTTCACATTTAATAAAAAAACTAGTATGAGAATGGTGATCTTGTCATGGAACCAATAAACAAGAATTTCCAAAAATGTCTAATTGTTTCTGTAAATAGTTGCAGGACATCCTGGGGGAAATTATATTGTCAGTTTAAATACAACTCATCATTTGCAGAGAGTTTTTGAAGTTGGGGCTAATTAGAGTTAATCCCTGTGTAGCACTGTCAGACTGTATGTTCTAAAGGAGCGATGCATCACACAAAGAACAGATGTAACTGTAGGAAATCCTGTGCGCTATACTCACTCTCATTGCAGATGGTGCCAGTCCATCCAGGAAAACATTCACATCGGTCTCTGTCTTCACTACACTCTCCATTCATACAGTCCTCACAGCTCACACTGCAGTCATGCCCGAATGAGCCACCTAGACACACTGAGAAGAATGAAACACATTTAAAAAAGACACATTTTCATAACTTTCTGCTCTGAAGACTTTATAGGACAACGATAAAGCAATATCCTCTTGATTTCTAACCAGGAATAGAGCTTATTGTCATCACTCCCATTTTTACGATACCTATGCTGCTGTCTAGTCTCAGCTCTCCTCGACGCTCCCTCTGGATCTCTAATTCTTTATCGCTGTCACCCCCTTCATCGTTATTATCATCTGTATCATCCCGGTAGCGCAAGGCTGCTGTGTACTGCAGGAGCTGAGGGGCTTTGCGGAACAGCAGGTCTGGTAATCTGTGGACCCCCAGCTGCTCATCCCCTTCTTCCTCCTCCTCCTCCTCCTCTTCTTCTTCCTCTTCTTCTTCCAGTTCTCTGCCATACAAAGCTTCACACAACCAGTAAAACATGTCAAGAGTCTGATGATTTAAATGGTGAAAACACATGTTTTACTCTGGATTTCAGGATAACTATAATACATATGTCACTTACAGATGCAGGAGTGCTGGTCCTGATCCAAGCGGAAGCCCATTCGACAAAAGCACTCATATGTTCCCAGGGTGTTGACGCAGTAGTGTTCACAGCCTGAGGTCTCTACGAGGCACTCATCGATGTCTAACAGAAGAAAAAAAAAACACACAGCTAAGCTAGAGAAATGGTAATAATGGGAAAAGCTAAATGGCAGACTGTATGAAACATGGACGTGGTCTCTGTGATGTCTCTTACTGGTTTATGAAGAGGAGATCTGAATACAAACAATGGTGGTCACCAATGTTGGAAATGTTATCTCCACCTAACTTTTGTTCAATCTAGTAACAGGAGAAGAGATGGACTTGAGGTGGGCCTTGCACCTTCTGTCGACAGCTACAACACACTCACCTGTTGGTCAAAGCGACCACGCCCCTAATTATTCAAATATTTGCTTAACTCTCAAATCAACACAAATTAGTTGTAAAAAATTCCCAAACGGTATGTTGTGTAAAAAATAAAGAAATTAGATCTTCAGATTAGATCAATTATTTGCACCAGGTTGTAAACATGCTAAATAATGATGTCAAAATGGACATTTCAATATGGTGTTAATGGAGCTTCAAGGACCTTTGGAGCCAGCCTCAAGTGGACGCAGGAGGACTTGCACTTGCAATGTGTATAACATTTTCAATGGCTTCATTTTCCCATACGTTACTTGCCACCTGGTTGTGCATGTGATGCTCCTATTGATCTATTAGTTTTTCAAAATCAGACAATTAAAGGCTTTACTTTTGTTTCATTTAACAGTTTTGTTTAAAGTTGAAAGGTGATCTTGAAAAAAGATTTCTGGATAACTATTTTGTTGCTGTTGTTGTTGTTGTTGTTGTTGTTTTTTGTTCTCTGCTTGGAAATGGCCTTGCAGAGTTTAATCTTTGATCAGTCAGTTTGTAAATGAACATTGGGGAATTTGCACGCACAAGCATACCACAACATAGAACACTTTAAAGCGCCTGATGAAGAAACAAACCAGAACTTTTACCATTGCAGCCACAGCCGTCTGGGTTCAGTCTGTGACCAGCTCTGCAGCTGCACTCATAGCCACCCGGGTAGTTTTTACAGAAGTGACTGCAGCAGGCTTCCCCGCTGATGCACTCATCACTATCTGAGGAGGATATGCAGTGAAACAGAGTTGGTTAAATGTGGGAAAAAAAGGATAAAGAAACAAAGATGTAGAACATGTCACAGAGTCTTACCTACACAGGTCTTCCTGTCCTGATCCAGCTGGTAGCCGTGGTTGCAGGAGCAGAGCGGGCCGTTGGTGGTATGGTCACAGTGATGAGAGCAACCTCCATTGTTCTTCTCACAGCTGTTGACAATCTCCATCTCGATGCCTGGAGGAGAGACGGCCCAAACCACAATGAAAGTGCATAACTAAAGCTGAAACATAAGGACAATGTTATGGGGATTTCATCAGGACTATTTGGGTTTGTTTCAGTCTTACAATTACCAGGATGAGGATGGGGAAACTATCCAAATATAACCACAGGTTTAGTTGACATTGCAGTGGAATTAGACAGCTTAGACCAAGTGTATTAACAAACAAAGCTTAAGTGACTGCCGTGACCTTGAAATGCATATTTTTCTATTTATTTTATGATGTTTCATACCATATGCTTCTTAAAAGTCCCTTTGTTTAGAAGAAAGTTAGAATTTCTCCATTGTAAGCATGCAAACAGGATAGAGAAAAGACTAGTTTTTTTATATATTGAAATGTTTTTCTTTTTTTTTTTCACGTCTTTAATCTCTGCCACAGGTCAGTGTAAGAAGAGGCGATTAACAACACATTGTCGAACAAGACTTTTTTCAACATTTTCCATGTAAAAGATTTTTGATGAGTTTCATGTTAGACTTTTTTTTTTTTTTTTAAAGCAGGTTGACATGAAGCTGCATTGGGCAGCCAACACTGACAGACAATGATAATTCCTCACCACAGCCTATAATCCTTCTGGATTTGTCATTTCCCCAAAGACATGTGTTCAACATTTTGTGGAATCTGTGATAGTTTGACTTATTCAGGATTACTTACGGTAGCACTGTTTGCCATCAGCACCCAGTTCGAAGCCTGGGTGACACACACAGCTGAAGGAGCCCAGCATGTTGACACACCTGTGGGAACACTTGGCCCGGCCTGAACTGCATTCATCAATGTCTGGACATACAAAAAACAAAAAAGTCATGATGGCATACAGGACAAATAATAGATTATTTCATTTTTCAAAAACACACAAATATATCACTAGGTCATATTGAGACATAGCCGAGATCCTAAGTGGAGTTGACATACATTTTCCACGTCGTCTTAGCATTAAGTTACTTATTACTTTTTTCAAGTCAAATCATGCCTGGGTTACTGTGGTTCATACAGACAATGCGTCTGTTGGATAGCCTAGAGGTTATGTTGCGTGTCTTACAGAGGCTATAGTCCACGTTGCAGCACCCGTAGGTTCCAATCTGACCTCTGCCCTTTCCAATATGACATCCCGGACTCTCTCCTCCTCACATTTTCTGACTCTCTTCAGCTGTTATATCCAATAAAGGCAGAAATTGCTCCCCAAAGAAAAACTACAAAAAACGGTCCATCCTTAAGCCTGTTACAAGGTATGTGGTTCAGGCTCTTGAGGGATCAGACATAAAGGTAACCTTAACAATGCCTTTGTTTGGAGCTGGGTTTCTGACACAGATGAACCAGACAGAAAGGCAACCACACTGTTACAAAACTAAGTCCCCACATGTTGTGAAAATCTGGATGTATAAAAGATTTCAAAAACAGTGGAGCTGATACTTCCTCCTGCAGGAAGACTTTGTCTGGCTTCTCCTCTCGTTCGGTTTGAACAGGAGAGATGTAACTGAGATCGATGGGGTGAATATCATCAGCTTCTTAATGAACATCGGCCTGTTGTGCTGCAGTTATGCTTCCAATTGAAGGTTAAGTATGGCCACATCTTGTCGAAAAATCATGAATGTCAGACTTTTAAGCTCTTTAACAGATATGGCTCCACTCAAATTTATTGTGTGTATAATGCAGCATGCGACATGTTTGATGACTCACCATCACAATTCTTGCCATCCCCTGCAAGTGTAAAACCAGGTCTGCAGCTGCAGTGAACCGTCGTGTCTTCTGAGAGACACAGCTGGGCGCAGCCTCCATTCCTCTCCTCACAGGGGTCCCTTACTGACGCACACACAAACACAGAGAGAGATAAACACAAATGAAAATACACATACACAAAAATGAAGTGATTTTCAGACCTTGTCTGGTTGGTTAATGTGCACATATGTAATTGTAAAGCTGTATATTAACTCATAAGGTTGATTTATGCATGCACAGCCTCAAGATATATCTAAATCCCTGCTCTTCACTCAGCAGCAAATGTCTGCAAATTTGCTTCTCAAGTTAATTTCTTCCCTGTTGGACATCTTTCCTTCCCTGCACAAACAGACATAACTCTTTATTTCTGCAGGAATTCTGTCAAACGTGCAACAGAAGCACCTCACTTACATCAAGAGATTATCTACTCTAATGAACCCTTTGCAGAAATGTTTGGCACATGCTTTCATTGTGAGAACATCTGTAGTAAAACCCTACTTACATCCACAGTGTCTGCCATCTCTCTTTAGCTGGTAGTTCTTCCGACATTCACATTTGTAGTGATTGTTCCCAAAGTCCACACACTTATGCTCACATCCACCGTTTAAGACTGAGCAAGAGTTCACAGCTGAAAAACAGTCACAGAAATATAGATGATACACTGATAAGCACCGTTAGTTGGTTTGAAGCCTCGAGCACTTATAATCTGAAATCACATAGATGACAGATATAATCACATTTGTTGGCGATCTAAATGCCTCTCACACCTCCGAGCTCTGCAGCCGTGTAATTATGGAAAAACACCCGGGTAAAGGTCGGGAGACTGGAGAATGATATTCAAGCTGGGTACCCCTGGTAACTTTCTAATGATCTTTCCATCCCATTACTCCTGTGATTTAATGACGTGCCAAAATATGAATATCAGCCGTGTGCCTTCTGGGTGCTCTAAACACAGACATGATGACACGGACAGGTCGTCAAACTGAGAGAACGACTGAGTTTACACACTAATGACTTTAACAGACACAATTAGCAATCCCTCTGCCTCCAGTCCTTATTCCTTACCACTTAGCTGCGGTCAAAAGATTGAAGTATTATGAATGATAAATAAGACCGAAAGCAGCAGAGGAGAATAGATTTTCAGCAAGTCACAAATTCTCGTATTACCTTCAGATTTTATGCTGCAGGAGAAATAACTTATAGCTTATATTACTCCTTGCGAATCATGTTAGAATTCCCCCTATAGGCACTGGGATTAATCATGGTGACTCTGCACTCCTACTCTTTAATGTGTTCGCACATTTATCTAAACAGAAAATGTTTTATTTCTCCAAGACGTGAGCAAAAACTTGACACTCAGATTTGATAACCGTACTCCTAATACTGAAATGTTGTACAATTATTGTATCACACAAAAGGTTTTTAAAAAAAGCACTGCAAAGAAAAAAATTCAGTAACAGAACTGTTTTTTTGAGAAGGAGTCATTAAGTTACCACAAGAGTAATAAATACTTGTGTTTACAACTCACCAATGCAGGTCCGAGCATCAGTGTGCATGCGGAAGCCTTCACTGCACTCACAGTGATAAGAGCCCAGTGTGTTGACACATGTTTGCTGGCATCCTCCGTTGAGCACCTCGCACTCGTTCACATCTACAACAGCAACACGTGTATACATATTAATGCAAACATGAAAACCTTACACATGCATATTCTCATTAAGAAAATGACTCATTCATGTAACAGGATATTGCTAAAATCCTCAGTATTGAACAATAAAAAAAACCCACTTGAGCACACGATGAAATATTCAAAGGGTTGGAAGTGCAAGTCTTTATTTACAAGCATGTGACTTACAACACTATGGCACAATTAAATAGAATAGATTGAGAAGTTTGGTAAACAGCTGGAAAGTAATTCTTTAATGAATAAAGGCTTGAAATAAGACATTTATTACATTCCTTATTAAATCTGACTTCCAACTTTAAGGTGGTCTAATTAATATTCCATCTGCAGTTTGACAAAAAAAGGAAAATGAGAAGCACATTTTTGGTATTACAGATTTTAAGAGTTGCCGTTGAATGATTTTGAACAGATCTCAAATGTCTTCATTCCTTTGCCTTGTGCAGACTTTGAGTTATAGGTCATTTCTGACCTCTACTTTAACCCCTTGACATTTCAATGATGCCACTGAAGGCAAAAAGCTCATTTAGATAGTTTTTAATATTTGATCTCATATGTTAGCCACTCAACCATCTGCTGCACAGTATCACACTGATCCACCGCTGTGACTCCTCTTGGAGGAAAACTATACATGTATAGGCTTATGTCTTCCAGGGTAAATGATGAATGGCTTCTCATGCTGCCTGTGCAGTAGCATGCGTGCAATCGATTTGTTTCCTGCACAGGAGACAACTGCATATGGCTGCACACACGTGTGTAAGACCACAGCTCATGTTCCACAGAGGACACTCAACTCAAGGACAACCAGACTCTATACTGCACATCTGGACAACACATCACACATCCTCCTCACCTCCTCCCGCTTGTCATCTTTGACTCGCAGGAGCTTTTTCAGCTCACACTGGTGATGACTGAGTAGATGTGTGAAAGGAGGTGGAAAATAATGTTTTCTATATTTACTTTTTTTCATAGAGTTGGGGTTTTTAAACACTTATATCATGTTGTTCTTAATGGGTGAAAGCCCTGTCCTATTGTGAAGATATTAGAAATAATTATTAAATAGCTGTTAGTGTTTGTGCATGGCAGACTTATGGGAAAAGACAACTTTAAAATGATCTGAAGACAATTTTAATCAGTCTTACACCAGCAAAAAAATTGCTTTTTTATACCTCGAGAGGATGCATAATGGTTTGCAAAACGTACTGAGACATGTGCATAAGTCTTTAAACCAGTTATCACTACACATCTGACCGTGGATAATCACATATTCATGAGCTGCCCCGGTTTTTTTCTGCTCTCTTTTGTATTTTTAACACATTTGGCAGCTTTTGTAGGAGAAGCCAAACATGCAAAACAAAACATGCAGGGGGAGGTTTTCCAAGGTTAATATACTTATTGGTCTCCTCATGTGAGAGGATTTCAAAGGGAGACGCACAATGGCTGCTTTTCACCAGTTAGGGAGCTGGTGTGTGTGGCAGCAGCGGTGGTGGTGTCAGAGGTGGAGCGGGGCACGAGGTCTGAATGGTATCATGTGACACCGTCTGGCTCTAAGCGGAGTTGCTGAGTTGGCATCTACAGGCAGACAATGTAGCGGAGCGAACATTTGGAGGCGAAAAGAAACGAACAGGTGGTCTTCAGAATGAGCTCCACAGGAACTGAATTCACTGCGAACAAAAGAAGAACTCGGCTGTGAGAGCAAACATTTGTATTGGTTACCTTGTGCAATTGGAATTTTTTAATTGCTTTATCAAATTATTCAAATTGATTTATATTCTCATCTGAATTAAAAATAAACAGATAAGCAGAGAGGTAACTCAATGGCCTCAAAAGACAAAATATCATGTATTCTCTGTAGAACCAACTCTGAAATTCCAACTGTTAAGAGCTTACACACCACACACACACATGCAAGCACACAGGCACGCACGCACACACACAGACAGGCACGCAAGCATGCAAATGCGCAAAAACACCAAGTCCCAGTCCACATGACCACACATACAATTTCACACAAAATCTTGTAAAAATAAAAAGAACTTCACAGCTGCTTAAGCCGTGAAGCAGCTCACTCAGACTTTTAATTATTAGTAAGTGACAAAAACCCTGTCTCAGATGTCAAAGGTCAGGTGGCATTTGTTCACACCTGTTAAGAACAAATGGGCCTCTGTGCCAAACTTTACCTCAGCATATTTCTAATGAGTCAGCAATCTGTCTGAGAGGAACAGACTTTAAGAGAGTAGATCTTTCTCAATGTATGATTGGATCAGCTTTAAAGAGACAGAAGTCTATTTGGTCAAATGGGCCTTCAGTTGGTGAAACTATACAAGTTTGTATACAATTATGCCGAAAGAATTTG